GGGGGTGGGGGGGGATGGGGTGTGGGCTTGACTGCTGTATATATATAGAGAAAAGAAAAGAGTGAGTGAGGGGAGAATTGTCTTCAAGATATCATTTGTCGAGGCTTCAAGACTGTTCAGAAGCAAAACCCAACAGCCATTCAGCTATTTCTTTTGGACTAATCCTTCTTTCGTTTGCTTCTTTTAACTTCTCGCATTACTTTGCGCCGAGTTAAAGAGATCCTTGATTTATGAAAACAAAAGAATATCAAGATAAGAAAGACGAAACCAAAACGACGTGGTATTGGAAAGAGGTGCTTTATCCTAATTGTAATTAGAACAACAATCCCCATTACAGAACGAAACCTCAGGAAAATTCATACCTCATTCCCTCCCACCATCTACTCTCTCCATCTCCCCGTTCTCCAAAACTCATGCCAATTATCGAGAGCCTCTTCGTTTTTCGGAGCTAGGAAAATTACGCATTGTAGCATGCTTTTCTCCTGGCCGCACCGGCGACATACTTTATCACTCCATGTATTCCCTTTGAACCGACACTATTTGCGTATTAGCCAGGATAATCAGAAGAGGGGGGTGGGGCAAGGAGGGGCTGACGATTTTCATACTCCATTCTGCTCGCTGCGCAAGTTGTACCATGGGCGGCATATGGGTGACGCGGCAGCATTCCCAGCGATACTCGTGCTCGTCGATTAGTTTCTTGATTGTTCTGATTTTTTCCATGTTGTGGGGTGGGGATTTGAGAGGGGTTGGAGTGGTGGAGCGCTGGTGATGGGAGGTGAGGTTGGTGAGTTAGATATAGAAAGGGAGGGTTTTCAAAGGGAAGAGGCTGGCAAAGAATGCAGATAGAGAATAAAGGTGAGAAATGGAAACAATAAATGATTACGAATTCAAAGTAAATCAGTAAGGACGTTGAACAAAGACAATGAATAGAGCAGGTTTTCACCTACGATAAATAGAATTCAAAGAACTTGCATTCCAGTTCTTATAGGCTTTGTCCATTTATAGATCTTGGTAAACCCCATTGTTAAAAATAGCAGATTGGCTATCTGAAATACAAAACGAAGCTCTGGTGATCTGACTTGCTTGCTGAGATATGGCCTGCATTTGGAAATAGTTACAATAGCATTCAAGCTCCGTCAAGAGCCCAGTAAGATCGATCTGTTAGATATAAGTATCAATTGTCGCTGCACTAATCTAAGAGTAGAGAAAACTGAAAGTGGCTGGTGGAAGTCACTAGATTCATTGTCTGCTCTGTCCTACGAGCTATGACCTATAGTAACCCTAGAGATGTCACGCTATAGCTTGATCATCCATCATTTGAAGGGATGTAAGAAAGTTTCATCTCATCTTAGTATCATCTTTCTAACATCTTGTTAAAGGTAGCAGAAAGAGGGGCTCTTTGAAGTGTAACTACAGTGTTAGAGGCTAGAGCGCCTATTTTACCTAATGAGAAACACTTCTGTAAGGAGGTTATAGTATTCTTGGACTTCTTGCAAATTTTCAGTTTAGGATCATTAAGGAACTCATATATGGTTCTGAATCATTACGGTTGAAACTTGAAGAAAATAACAAGCCTAAAGTGAGAGATTAGACATACCAGGGAAGCCCAGGGACTGCCCAGACTACCTATACTAACTGAATGAGCCTAGGATAAGGAGTCTAAGTAGAATAAGAGCTGTTTCTCTCTGAAATATAAAGGTAAGGAACTGGATTTTGTGTTCCAGGACTAGGGAAAACTTGGAGAGCGCGTAGATGCATGTCCAAGAGAGAACAACGCGAGACACGCTCAAATTCACTTTTTCAAAACCGCAACATATATTCGCGTCGGAGAGAAAGCCTACTAAGGCGTCCTCAGTATTCGATCTCGCGGTATACTTCCTACGAACTTTGCACTTATCGTAAGAACAACAAGAAACAACAAGAAAAGAACAACAATGTATCGACCCGCGACCTTCGATCCGCCCTGGGTCGAGTACTTTACCTCGCCATGTCCATCCTACGTGAATAGCTTCATGAAGTTCACGCTCTTCCCACAGCTGCCCGTAGGGGTTCAGCTAATGATCTGGTCTTTTGCGCATATAGGGGGCCAGTACATAAAGATTACATCGGACGACGACATGATTCGGAGGAAGGTCGACACTCGAGAAATCCCGCGAGAAGAAGAAGAATTAAGGGAATGGCGCTGTTTTTACAAATACGAAGTTCCACCTCTGCTCCACACCTGCTACGACTCGAGGAAGGTGGCGCTGAGGACGTACCGTCTTGCTTTTGCGGCGCAGTTAGGACATCCTGTCTTTTTTGACTTTGAGCACGATGGTCTGAGCTTCGATAGCCCTATGGCATTGAGTACATTTGTCCATTCCACGCCTAAATTTGGTGTCTCGCCTAAGGATGCAGATTCTGTTCAAAGGGTGTCTTTTGAATTTTCGAATACTGTCCGCCCGGAAATAACGAGTAGATGGTGCAGAAAACTATGCACCCACTTTGGGAGACTCAGGCTTATGCGTTTGATCGATCACGAAGATCGTGTGAGAGGCGATCTTATTTCAACAGATCTCGTAATAGGACAATTTTTAGAGGATGAAATCTTCACCCCTCAGGATCGAGATCTCATAACTTCTCTAATTCCAGGGCGTCGAGGACGTTTAGAGGAGTGGGTGCCACCTGCAGTCTTGATTGGGACACCGACACAATGGAATAACGAGAAGCTGTATAATTATAATGGAGAGCTAAAAATCCCTTGTCCAATATTGGCGCTACCTGGCTTCGAGTTTACGCCACTAGATGGCAGAGTTAACCCACTTGGTGATAGACTTCCACTGGGAACGGCAAGGGGAGGAGATGTTGTGAACGACCAGGTGAACGAGCAAGTGAACGACCAGGTGAACGATCAGGTGAACGAGCAAGTGAACGAGCGAGTGAACGACCAGGTGAACGACCAGGTGAACGACCAGGTGAACGAGCAAGTGAACGACCAGGTGGATGACCAGGTGGATGACCAGATGGATGACCAGATGGATGACCAGGTGAACGACCAGGTGGATGGCCAAGGTCTTCAAAGCGACGAAGACTAAAGTATTGAAAAGTATCCTGGAGAAGAGATTCGGAGGAAAACTGCAACGCCTGTGGATTTGCTTCGCAGGATCAAATTTTCAAGTGGAAAAGAGACAAAAGGAAATGTACTGTACTTGTAATCTTGATAGCAATAATAGGCTATTATTGCTCATCCATGATCTCCACTATAAGGGTATTGTTAGTCCCACTGCCCCGCTGGATCCAAACACCCCACTGGTAACTTACCCGATTCTCCAAAACCACCCTTCAATCTTCAACTTTCACTCTTCAACCCACAGGGTTGTGAGCTGCGCTCCTCACGGCCTTATCAATACACATCATTATATGCCTCCGATTGTAAATTGCACGTTGCGTACTACTCTCAGTCATTACACTTTTGCTTAGCATCTCCCCACGAGTAGCCGTGCTGCTTCTGGATTTCGTCTTTTCCCACGTTTCAATGGTACCTAAAGCATTTCATTCTATTACTCACGTCCTATCTTATATCTAAGTAGATATGAGCTATGGAGTCAGAGAGGGTGTGCTACGTCAAAGGAGCAGAAGAAGAGAAGACCGCACGAGCCACCGTGTCTATAAGCATTGAAAGTCTGAACCACCTCCCTAGCTTGGAACCTTTAGTGACTGCAAGCCTATTGGAGCCTCTCTTTCAAGTCGACGCAGTGCCTCGATCGAGAAAGTTGAGAATCATGAACTTGTTGTCGATCCGGAGACTGCGAAAGCTCGGCAAGCGAGGGTGGGATTGCCATGAATTTTCAATATTATTCCAAAGGCGCACCTCTTTTGAACCCAACAGAGAGCATACCGGGTAGAGTGAAACATTCCTCAGCTTTTGCTTTCATCCGTCGCCTCCTCTTGATGGGCTAGAAGGGCCCTTTCTCTCTCGATTTTCTTGTCTCCAAGGGTGACACCTATCCCTCTAACGACCAGCCAAGCGGGCACTAGGGCCAGCCCCCACAGACCAAAATTGAGATATACGCCGCCAACCTGGGCGAAGATACGGACACTATCAAGGCCATACTGCTAATCATCAGAACTGAACCTTGAAAAGGCGAAAGAAAGACTTACGCTAACGGCTTGCGCAGCAGACTCCGTTCCTCGAAGCAAGCCCGCTATACGAACGACCTCCTCGTTTGTAGTCGCCAGCTCACCAACCACGAAATACCTTACTTCTTCATTAGTGCGCTAGACCAAATCTGCAGGATATGTGGGAGACATACAAATACATATAGTTCAGCTGAAAGCCCGCAACCCAGAACAAGAACAACGCAAACCCCTTGCCAAACCCGGCATCGGTCCAATCATAAGTAGGCATCTCTTTGCGATATTGAGTTACCAGGATAGTGGACCAGATCCACCATCCGCCTTGCAGGGTCATGATAGTGAAGAAAGCGCCTCGCGCTCTCCGCTTCAGCGAGATCTTCTTGTAGTCTAGGAAGGATCCGAGGATGTTTCCAGCGATGATCGCAATGATTCCTGAAAGGAATGATCCGAGTGCGCGAGCTCGAACGGAGAACCACATGGATTGGAAGGTAAACATCACCGATTCGGTATACACGCCTTGCCAGATGAGTGGAACGATCAACAGGAAGTTTTTGGAAAAGAAAAGGCGGGTCACATCTTTGATTTCGCCCCAGCTGCTTTGGCTGATCGAGAGAGTGACAGGGACGCCATCGGTACGCTGAACCTTCTCAGGCTTGTTCAGCAGGAAACCGGCAACAGGTCCTAAGGCTTGCAGGGCGATGAATGCCTGGTATACATGATATGATACCTTGCCCGCCTGGTTGTTATGTGCATCCAGGCCCAGGTTGATAGCACCTCCCAGAACCTGTCCTCCGACACGGAAGCTCAGCCAGAAGCCGAGGAACCGTCCCTGGTTATAAGGCTCCGGATAGGACAATGCTATAGCTGCTTCCGACATCCAGAACACACCAGCGGAAATCCCACATAGCGCAGCGCCAAACAGCACGAGCCACTCCGTCCCAAACCGGTTATTGGTGTATAGCCCCGCGGCGAACGGCGCATAGCCCATAGTCCCGAACATCAGGGTATACTTAATTCCGATGTACTTCACGAGGATGGGCGAGAAAAAGCACGAGAACACCATCAGGCCGAAGGTCAGGGCATTCGCGGCGTTTACCAGGTAGGGTTTCTCCTCGCCGCCCGCGCCCAGCGAGTTCATGGCGCCCCAGATCCCAGGCGCCAGGAAGTTGCAGAGCCCCAGGATGAGGGCGTTGTATAAGGTGCTGCGGTACCATTTTGCTTGGCATGTTAGGCAGGGCTCTGACAGAGAGGGGAGGGGATGGGAGAGGGCCCGGACGGGGAGAGAACTCACGTTTGATAGGCGCCCGCGCGCCAGGCTGAGCCTCATTATCAGAAGCCACCACGACCTCCGACTTGCTCTCCGAAGTATCCATTCTCTTTTTGGAAGTTTGACCCTCGGCAGCCGCAGGTTAAGGTGGCGGTGGTTACTGTGGTTTGCACAAGAGAAAGGGGTGCTTGTCACGTGATGTCGCACTTGAGGTTTCAGATTCGACTGTCTCTCCTGCAACTCAGCGAGGCACATCCTCTTATCTAGCTTTCCTTCAGAAAAGAAATACTCCATTTGAAAAGGAAAGGTAAGTTCTCCGCGGCCAAAACGCGGGCGGTTTGCGAGCACGAAATCAAGACCCTGCGATCGCGACTGCGCATGGTCCACCCTCCCTGTCCATTAGCGAAGCGTAGAACAGAGAAATGCGGCTGGTGGTGAGGCTCGCATCAATGTGCTTGACACTAGTTGAACTGGGAAGTTGGAACCTATTTTATTTACTTCTATGAGACTCAGGGATTTCTGTCATGGGGAGAGTAGCCACGTCTGGATAGGGGATCGTGCGATGGAGAAGAGAAGAAGGCTTACAGCTGTCATATATCGTTGACTCGCGACCTTCTACATCTTTCACTACTCCTTGCTCTCTTTCTCTCATGTAACAATCGTCCTCCATCCATAGGTAACCTATACTTCAATTTCGTACTTCTTTTTTCTTCTTAATTTCTCCTTCAATTCATCTTCTATCCTCGTGTATTGTTTTTTCCCCAATAGTATAATTCGTATATCTATCAAAATCAATATCCAAGCCTCAGAGCCACGTACAGCAGTGACATCACCTCGCAGCCTCACTTCTTCACAGATAAACACCACACATTCCCAAATACACTCTTCAAACCACCAAAAATCCCCCAAAATCTCCACCAAAACCAACTCCATAAACAGTTCGTGCACCTTGCTCACCACCCCAAAAATGAAACCTTCATCTAACAAATCACCTCTCCAGCTTAATCCCCAACCATGTGCACCGCAACCCCTAGCGCGCCCATAAACCACAACGGCCCCGGCTCCGCTGCCTCTTCAACCATCAGCTCGATCGTGAAGCCTGAGGCTGGCGCCGCAGGGAAGACGAAATGCTTGGAGTGCGATGGCTTTGAGTGCTGTTGCATTCCGATCCCTTGCACCGTGATGTGAATGAAGAAGTGAGGGTTGGATTCGAGATGAGATGAGATGAGACGCGTCATGCATTGCGAAGGGAGGGGGGGAGGGCTGGGGGTGATGGGAGGGAGGAGTTTTATGGATAGTTTCGCTGCTGCTGCTGCTGCTGCCGCTGCTACTGCTAATGGGGAAGTGCGAGCATTGGGATCTGAGAGCTGCGAGGCCGAGTTTATGGGTTGATGATTATGATGATGATGATATATGGCCTGGGCATATGTTGCGGCTGTCGATGGCTTTCAGCTGCATGACACATAACGATGACTTTGTGCTCTTTTCAAGACCTAGCAAGCTTGGGCAATTTTGCAATGTGCCTGTTTATTTGGGTATCTCTGGCAAAACCACGACTTATAACGTGTGATATCTTTCGCTCTCTTTCTAAACTTCTTGGATCTCTGGAGGAGTACCAGGTGAGACGCTGTAACCTCCATGTGGTGCAAGATCCATAGATGAGATGCCAACCCTCAGTTCGTTAGGAAAATCCCCGTTCCAATTCGTCCCAAACATCCCTCCCATCTTCTACCTCTCCGTTTCCTGGCCCCGCCCCAGGAGCTTCCCCACTCCCCTCCTTCTCAGAGAAACCCAACTTCCCCAGCCCCGCCAGGACAGTCTCAACCTCTGCCTTCATCCTCAGGATCCCCTCAGTCTCTGCTTTCGATCTTTCCAATTGATCTTGCATCATAAGTATCAAACTCTCTCGTGCTTGGTGGGGCCGATATTCGTTCAGCAAGTGGTGGAAATTATAGAACAGGGTTCCGAGGTCCTGGATTTTTTCTGCATACTGTTGATTGGCACTAATTAGCATCTGAAAATACTCGAGTTGAGAGAGAAAGCAAAGGGGAATAAATGATGACCAAGGGAACCTACTTGTTCGGGATTCACGCTCATAATTCCGACCAATTCAAGGAAATTCAGAAGCAAGGATTTCGCAAGTCGCTTCAGGACCAATGCGCGATCAAAATGCCGTCCTGAGCCATTGGGTGTAGCAGGCGGAGTGTAAAGTTGTGGGATGCCTTGCTCTTCAAGAGAGCGCAGGGGCTCATTGAGCTGTTACCATGAATATTAGCATGTTGCCCTCTGTTTTCAACTATATGCCCATCCTCTGAGCATAATCGTAAAGGATACACACATTATGGATCTCGCCAAAACAGCGATAGATTCCATCCGCCGGCGGCTCTGGAGGTTGGAGGAAGCGCAACTCTGGAGGGAGATCGAGCAATCGTATTGGTAGAGCCGTAGCTGGGTCAATGGGACTGTAGTCGGGGCCTGCCTGCGCAGCACGTAGCTCTTCTATTCGGGAGATATTTTCGGCTGTGAAGTTTTGGAAGAACTGAGGAGGTGTAGGAAACGTGGATGTGTGAGCTTGTGGTTGATCTGCCATTGTGAGATGTGGCTGCGGAATAATTGTAAAAAAATTCAAGAAAATGATAAAGTCAAGAAAATTTCAATGCTCGCTCCCTTGGGGGAACAGAGAGGCTTTCGTAATATTGAGCAGAGTTGGCTTATTGCAGAGGAGGTTGAGGCCGTGGAGCTCCCGCGACAACATCTGCTGCTCCATGGCGATGTTTCGGCTGTGGTTATGTAAGCAAGGCTGACCGCGGCATTTCTTTGCCCGGGGACGACGACGTTTCAGGAAACATCACATTCGTTTATATCCTCTTTACACTCTGTATTGCCGCATATTTACCTCCTTGGACAGTTTGTCCTATCCTCGTAAAATATCTTGGGACTCTTGGATAATGCCGTCGAATGGCCTCAATGGCCGCCCTGGGAATGGACGATTCGCTGATCGCACCGGGTTCATAGGATCAGTAGCCAGGTTCTGGGAGGTATATGTCCAACTCCGCCTTGTGAGGATCTGAGGATCTTTGACTGATTGTTTAATTGTAGAAAACCTATGCGCCAGACTATGTGGGGTTTGCGCTGCTGCTGACCGCATATCTGATCGTAAGCCCCGATGTGCGACAAGCATTTCAAGCAATCTTCTCAAAAGCGCATCAGGTCCAACTCCTCGTGGAACCCTTCCATCGAATGTTCTTCCTCAATAACCACAATATCCAATATCCCTATGCAGTGGTGGAGCGGGTGTCCGTGGGCTGGAATATCACCTATGCGGGTGCGATCCCATTGATCATTTTGATTATTTGGCTTGCTGTCTCGAGGGCAGCAGTACACAAATTCCATGTTACGGTTCTCGGGTTCTTCATAACGTACGCAAACTCGGTCTCTGTCTATATATATGTGGGCTAACATGGCAGTCCAGGCTGATCCTAACATCCTTCATCACCGACGTTATCAAGAATGCTGTAGGAAGACCCCGCCCTGATTTACTATCCCGTTGCAAGCCTGCTCCCGGTACCCCGAAGGACGTACTGGTCAACATCGAAGTATGCACACAGACAAATCCTCACGTCCTACAGGAGGGATGGAGGAGCTTTCCATCAGGACATTCGAGTTTTGCGTTTAGTGGTCTAGGGTTCCTCTCCTTGTTCTTCTGTGGACAGATGCACGTTTTTAGACCGAGAACGGACCTTGGTAGGGCATTACTTGCACTTGTGCCCCTTCTCGTTGCCGCGTTGATTGCGGTGAGCAGGTGTGAAGACTACCGGTATGCCCCCCTAGCCCCCTTACCCCTTTTTTTGGTTTGATTTAGTTCCTCGGTCACGTGATGGAAGCCCCATGAGAGCACAAGGTACCTGAAGGTAGAGATGCTAATGAGGAAGCTCAGGCACGATGTCTACGATGTAACCTGTGGAGCGATTCTTGGCATGGGTGTTACATATTTCTCGTATAGGCGATACTACCCTCGATTGAATTCACCAAGGTGCCACGAGCCGTTCCCTTCGAGAGAGTCGAGCTTCAATGACGGCTTTGGAAAGGTTAGAGATGACGAGGAAGCAGCAGCAGGAAGCGCGGGGAATTTTGAATTAGACGATAGCGACGCAGGTGCTTAAGAATGCCCACGACCTAGATATGAGAAATGACAGCCCTTTACGACCTGGCCTGGCACACTTCCACAGCGCACAGAGAAGTGCCATCCTTTCATTGTCTTCTTCCCTCGGCACTTTTCTGCTTTGTACCAATCCTAACTAGCCTTTGCTCTTTGTGAATTTTGTTGCTATTCCCAGCATCCTTTGTTGAGTACTCGCTCTTATTTGGCTTTGTCTTCCGGTTTATATCTTCCAACTTAACCTTCCTACTGCAGTTTATCCATATTTTTTGAGGCTCCATCAGTCTCTTTGCATCAAAGCTCTCGCATAGTTGTGCACACAAATATTTCTTCCCGTCTCTTTTGCAAGATGCCATCCGAGTGGGTCCTTATCCAATTCCTCTCCATAACATACTACAAATGGAAAAAACTACCGTTCGGCACTCAAATCGTGCTTGCTGCAGTCATTATGTACACCTCTCCTTACTCCATAAAGTACGTGTGGCGACTACCTGTCGGTATCTTACGGTATTATATTGAATATATCCGTGTGACCGCGGGGTATGGGTCTCCGATCCGAAAATGCCATGTGGTTAGAACAGCTTTCAATCCATGGAATACTCTTGATAATGAGGATTGGTTCCTTTTGCAGCGATGTATGGGGAGGGACATGGGACTTACGAAGCAGGGAGCGCTTGAAGAGGTACTGTGGGAATGTATCAAGAGGATCGGTAACCCGAGAAAACTTCCTGGCGTATTTTTGGTGGGTTTTAAATGACAAAGAGAGCGAGGGAAATGCTGATAATCTGCAGCCTCTTATACCGCCCAGTTTCTTCCTCTATGCTCTGCCTTGGGTTGAGGATAGGAGGGCCGATTCGATGAATATGGTGAGTGTTCTGGCTTACTTGTGATATGGGTCTAACATCCTGCTAGATTAGACGATCATTGAAATCGGTCTTTAGCCTCAGTGTTGAGACTATCAGCCTTGTCTCACTTTATTTCTCTGTATTCGCTGCTATATGTGCCTTTTGCCTTTTTTGCATCTTTCCAAAGAGAACGTTCTTCTTCCTCCTCATCTTTCTGCTGTTGATTACTGTTCTTAAAATTGGCCGTGCTACTATCATGGAAGGACCACAAGGATTTCGGCGTGAAATTGAATCGATTCATGACGAGTTCTCTGAACTATCTAAAGCGGCAAAGATATGGCTCCTTCTAGCAAGTATTTGGGGTATATTCTGCTGGATGGCATTTAAGAGTGCATTCATGTTCTGGGGGATTGGGTCGGTGGTGTTGATATTTTTCTCCAAAGGGGTGGATCGTTTTATATTATCCTGTCGTCACGTTGAAGGTTGCCGTTGCTTTGTTAACTTTGATAGACCTGGAAACGAGTGTTACCATTCTGCAACATGTACTTGTTGCGTTGATCTAAAAAAGAAAATAGAAGAAAGCGCGGCAGACTTCACAAGGCAGGCTGGGCAACTCGAAACCTCTCGCAAAACAATTCAAGAACTAAAAGAACAGGTCCACCAATACCAAACCAACCCCCGAGGATTTGGACCTCCCCCTCCATCGCCCCTTCCCCCATCCCCCGGATTCACAATCCCCGGGTACTACACCGTCCGCAAGGAGAATCAACGCCTGCGCGAAGAAGTCGCGAGACTCGATCGGCTGCTCCAAGTTCTCCGCCGTCCCACCTCCCATCCCCTCTCCGACAACACGCGACTTCGCGAAAGCGTCCGCAAGCTCCGCGAACTGCTCGTCAGCAAAAAAGAACAGGATCGGAACTCCCAAGAAGAGATCCGCCGCCTGCACAATGTCCTAGCGGCCGAGCGCACCAAATATTTGAAGGCCGTTGCGGTCTTGCAGGTTTCGGTGGCGAGGGCAAGGACGGACAATGCTCTACTGGAGGGTCAGATCGCGGTGTTGCGGACCAGGGACCAAGATAATGATGATAAGCTTAAGTTGGCGAATGAGAGGATACAGGAGTTACAACGGCTGACGGAGGAACTTGATTTTGATCGGATTGGGTGAAAAGACGATGTGGAAGGCACTGATCTCTACCGGACCCAACAGCGTAGCCTAGCGGCACGGTTTCTGGGAGTTCAGAAGGAGTTAAGGCGCAGGATAAGTTGGTTTAGCAGTATGAGGTGATGTTTTGGGAAGCGCTGGATCGTTTGAGTTGGGGGAAAGGGGTCTAAAGAAGGGAAAGCTTGAGGGTTTCGGCCTTTTCAGGGGCCCGGGGGGATCTGGGAACTAGAAAAGGACTTGTTCTGGAGGTTTCTTCGATATCCGTGGAGTTAAGGCTGTATAGGAATTGACTTGTTTTGCATTGAGAAGACCAGTCAAGCTGTAAGATAAGGAACACGTGAGAAATGAAGATGGGTTCTGAACTTCGAAAGGCGCCCCGGCTTCAAAGCATTTTTTTACTTTCTCTATAATTACATAGTCATGAACTGGAAGGAATGCAAAAGGGAAATCTAACTGGTTATGCGATCCCCGTCTGCTCCAGTATCATCTTTGGCCAAATCATGCTCCTTCAATAATGCTGTGATCTCATCGGCATTCCACAAGTGGTGGTAAATTCTGCCATCCTTCGTCTTGCCAACAGTAGCAAATTCAACTATAGAAGCCATCAGTACAACGAGCTGGAGCTTAAAATCAGTGCGACTTACTCTTCTCACTACTCAACTTCGTCGAATCCATCGTCTTGCTCAAGACCTTGACCGCCATGCCACACGCCTCCTTCAGATCGCAATCCTCCTTGTAATCCTGCTTCAACAAACTCTGCGCACTGGCATTATTCGCTCCCACACTCGTAGCTTTCCATCCACCATAGTTACCACTAGGATTGCTCTGGTACAGCTGGAATTGTCTTTGGGGATCATAGCCGGCATAGATGAATGAGACACCAAAAGGTCGTAAACCACCATGCTGAGTGTAACCTTGCTTGAGATCGCATAGTCGACGAACAAGTTGCTCGCAGGGAATGTCTTCGTTGTAGGTAAGGAGATACCGTTGTGCGGCTTGACGTGCGTAGTTGATAAGAATGTTGGCATCAGCCGTCATGCCTGCAACGGCACAGATCATGTTACTGCGCAGTTCGTCAGCCAGTAAATGTGTCAATGTTATTGTGAAACATACTCGTTCAAGATGTACAGCTTCTCGGCGGAGGTATCCTGCTCCAGGAGCTTGCTCGTCACCTTCCTCTCAGCCGCCAGAACAATGCCATCTTTTGCTAATATGCCTAACGCGGTGCCTGCATGGGAGATAGCCTCGAGTGCGTATTCGACTTGGTAAAGACGTCCTTCGGGCGAAAAGATTGTGGTCTAGGGGAGTCTGTTAGCTAGGTAACCTGGGGATGCGAGGCCGTTTGAGCTCACTCTGGAATCATATCTTCTTGACATGATGGCTGCTGAGATATGTAGCTTCTCCTACGGTAGTGAAACTTTGCGGCGTGGGAGAGAAGGGTGAAGAGAGCTTCCTCAGTCGTCGAATATTGTTTTAATGAGGAGAGCTCGTTGTCGCTGTATACAGCTCGACAGCTCCAGGCACGAAGGCACGCGTAGACTAGTGGAATGCCTTAAATCGATCGATCTAAACCTGAGGCCACAGTTGCCCTCCAAATAATTTCTGGAGCTTCAAGAGCTTGACCAGAGCTTCATACACAGCACGACCTTGAAGAGGACGATGCGCCGGAAATGTTGAAATCTACCCACAAGGCGGTGGCGCCCCCTCCTCTACCAGAGGGATGGACCGAACACAAAGCACCGACTGGTCACTCCTACTACTACAATGCGACGACGAAGCAATCGACATACACGAGACCTGTTGCCTCTCCAGCACCTATCGCACCGCCTCCTGCTGCTCCCTTAAACCCATCTCAGAGCTTTTTACAATATCAAGCTGTTGGAAGCCCAATACCAAGTGCTGGACCGGGTTTCAATAGCTTTCCGCAGCAACAACCCTTTCAAGGACGAGGTTTCCAAGGCCAGAGAGGAGGCAGAGATGATCATGATGGACCCAGGAACCCAAGGCCACAACCAACGGATAAGCCGAAATCACGACATCCAATTCCAGGATGTGAGCCATGGGTGTTAGTACACACAAAGCTGGGGAGACGATTCGTTTACAATACAGCAAAGAACCAGAGTTTCTGGCGGATACCTGATAAGCTTAAGGATGGTATACTGCAGCTTGATCAGCAGAGGATCAAAGAGAAGGCCGAAGCATTGCAGAGGGAGAAGGAACCTGCAGCAAGCGGAGGGATTCCAGGAGCCGCAGAAAAACCAGCAACAGAAACGCGGGAAGAACAACAAAATGGAGGTGATGCGGAGGATAGCTCCGAATACGAAGAAGTCGAAGTCACAGATGACGAAGAGGAGGAGAACCCCCCGAAGAGGCAACGAACAGATGAGGACGCTCCGGATGAGCCCATTGAGTTCAACGAAGATGATATTGCCTTCCAATTAGCAGCGATGGGACAAGAATATGGCTTGGATCCTGGCGAATATGACGATGGTAATATGGAGGGTTGGGAAGAGGGCGCCCAAGGTCTGGAACTGACGGAAGAGGATGCCGTCGCATTATTCAAGGATTTACTCGATGATTTCAGAATCAACCCGTACAGCCCCTGGGAGAAGCTTGTCGAAGAGGGAAAGCTAGTTGATGACACGAGATACACGGCACTGACAACTATGAAGGCGCGGAGAGAGGCGTGGGATGAATGGTCACGCGAGAAGATCAAGCAACTCCGAGAGCTCAAGACGAAGGAGGAGAAGAAGGATCCCAAGATACCGTATCTGGCGTTCCTCCAGAAGCATGCGACACCAAAATTATACTGGCCGGAATTCAAACGGAAATATAGGAAAGAATCAGAGATGCGGGATAGTGCCATGGCTGATAAGGATCGCGAAAAACTCTACAGGGAGCATATCAACAGACTCAAACTCCCGCAATCGAGCTTGAAGGCCGACCTGTTAACTCTGCTTAAGGCACAACCGCTCTCGACACTGAACAATACTACCATTGCCTCACACCTACCTCCCGCCGTTCTCACAGACATCCGATACATATCACTTGATCCCGCAGTGCGAGACCAACTTATCGAGTCGCATATCGCGACTTTGCCCCCACCCCCAGCGTCGGCGGCCGAAGAAGAAAGCGAAGAAGCGGCCAAGGAGCGGATGGAGAAGCAGCGGAGGCAGAAAGCCTTGGAGGATCGGGAAAGACACGTCGCTGAAGAGAAGCGACGGCAAAAGAGGAATCTCGAACTTGGAAAGGGCAGATTGCGGGAGGAAGAAGCAGAGATTGCGAGAGCAATGAACGTTACGAAGAAAGGATTGAAAGGCCATTTAATGGGAGAAGAGAGTGCGGAGAAGGATTCTTGATAGTCGAAGTCGACGATGTTTGTTGATATGATGATACCCAGTCTTACATGTGGCCCACTTACAAGTCAACGTTGCAAAGCGATTTCCTGGCCCACGTGCTATTGTTCTACGGAGTGTTTCTTGTGAAGGCTAGGGCCTAGGGTACGGGAAGCACTGGATTGGGCTTGTTCCTCTGTTGACTCCCCGGTGTTTCAAATGCCTTAAGCGTTGTTACTCTCGCGATGCGGTTCGTTCTACCCAGTTACTTACCCAGGATAGCCGTTGGATATTTGCATGCCACTTGCCAAGTGCCCGAGGTCCGATAAGTGGCGCTTTAAAGTCGTGGATCGTCGCTCAACCCCGGTCTCCCCCTGGCCCTTCGAAGATCAGGGTCGGATAAATTCACTAAACTACTCCCTACCGAATGCTACTCTGTTGCTCCCTTGCCGATTTGCATGAATCCTGCGATTTCCTGCCTCCTCGAGGTTAATAAGATCTGCCCCATGAGCCCCCAAAACCCCGGAAAACTTGAGATCATTGGATCGACCTTCATTCTGGGGAGAGAAACGAGATTTAGCCGAGTCGGCGAGGCACGGCGCATTGCATGTTGATGAAATGAGAAGGCAGGAAGCATATCATGGATATCATACTTAGCTGCGGAAGGTGAACTTCACCTCGCCAGCCGCTCTTTCATAACTACGGAGGAATCTCCATCGCCTCAAATCTTCCTGTCTTTCTCGAGTTCCCCTGCTACTGACTATCTCCTCTTCGCCCGATTATTCTCCTGTCAAGGACAATTCAATACGGAGCAATCAATCACCAGGAGATACAGCAACTATGACCTTCCTTCGCCCTCTCCTCCCAATCGCCACCTACGTCAGTCTCGCAGCGGCAGGAATATTTCAACTCTCTATCTTCGACATTGAATCGCCTCTCAACGGACAGATCGTCAATGCCGCAGGCGAGGCCTTCTATGCCGGTCTGTCGAGCCCGGCCAGCTACTGTCCTCATCAGGGAGCCAGTGAATGCCCCGTCGGTAACACGACATTATTAGCTGGCATGGATGCACTCTGGATATATTTACCTTTGACATCTTGATTCGAGATGATTGCTAATGGGAGTTGTACATACATAGGTCGAAGTACCGGGTGGGCAGCAAGTTTATGTGTTAGATTCAGGGGAGATCGTCTATACCCCTCCGCACTCCGAATCTCCGCCTAATGATCTAGCCGCTGGTCAATTCACAAATACCACGGTGGTTTCGGATTGCGCTGCTCCATTCACAATATTCAATTGGCGGAGCGCTTCAACGCCCGTTACAGGTCTGTCCTCGTTTTGACTGGTCCGAATTTGTCTTCTTGGGAATAACAGCTAATGGAGGTGGATAATAGGAGGAATCCTCGCGTGTCCTAAGATCCTTCAAGGTTCGACTGACCCTAAGTACCAAATTTATGCCAGAACTCCTGGCTTCAAGCTCACCAATTGTACCGTGGTCCTTGGATTGCTCCCACATCTTCAGTCCAACAACGCCTTTGGTGCTTGGGAGTATGCATGATCCTCGGCCGAGATCAGATTCATAATAATACGCATGTCCTGGAGTTGGGTGGAAAATCGATTCGCAGGAGCATTGGTAGAGTTGCGGGATTCAGCTGTGTTATCAACGATTTACTTGTTTTGAGAGCGACAAATACATTCATACTGGTATATGTAAGGCCAACGATATATAGGGAGCGATGACATAATGAAATACCATGGCAGCTGGCTAATTCATAGCTATTTGATCTCTGCATCTCCCTTTGAGCTAATTTTGAAATTGGAAAGTATAGTAGTTTCATACGACAAAATAACTATTTCTGGACATCAAACTTCCACGTAGAGAGATATCTTGTAAGGGGAAAATGGTGTGAAAGTTTGACAGGTCTGGAATCAAGCTGGAATAGAAGGAGCCATATCCTTTCTATCTTTTATTTTCCTAATCAAGTGTACCTCGGACCACCTTTTTGAACTGAAGCTGGAGTGGGAGCTAGTATTGATGTGGGGTTGAAGAAGAAAGGGCGTATCTTGGGGGGAAGGGAGGGGAATTATATACAAGACTACCTAGGTTGAATTCCATATCAAATCCAATATTCCTGATAACAAACAGATGAAAGACTGGGCTTCTGCTCGAGATATTGGATTTTGAGCGTATGTGACTATTTTCTGTGATTAGGGATTGTTTTGATGTTGGGTGGTGGACAGGTAGGAAGTAGTTACTAGGAATAGGCATTTGGAAAAGAGGGAATGAAGACAGAGTAGGTCAAATACGATGCATTGGATCGTTCGATGAAATTAACGCGCCGGATTATTCCATTGGGTATAATGAAGCACACATGTTGTACAGGTTCGAGAATCACTCTGGTCTAACCCCTCATCCTAAAGCCATCCCAGTCATCGTCGTCCGCATCATCATCATCATCCTCCTCGTCCTCCTCATGCGTACCGCTGCCCTCTGGCGGAGGGATTGGTGGGGCCTCAACCAACCCGACCACACTCTCTTTCCTCCTCAATGCTTCCCGTTTCTCTCTTAACTTCTTCACTCTTTGTTCCAACCCCTCCATCTCCTCAAATTCATCCTCCAACTTCCTCGCCGCGTCCTCCTTGTCTCCTTCAAGCTCGGCTTCTAACTGCTCTCTTTTCCTTTTATTCTCCTCTTCCTTTTCTTTGGCAGCCAGCTCAGCAGCTGACATCGCCGGTGCGGAGATCACGCCCTCAGTATACGAAGTAGCAGCAGGGACTTCAGCCGCGGCTATGTCTGCTTCAAACGCCGCCCATTCATCTTCATTCACTTCCGGTATTTTGGGGTTTACTTCAGTTGGTTTTGCCTCTGTCGGTTTCAAGGGCGTGGCTGGCCGAGAGGGAATTCGCATCTCGTTCTTCCGCGGTGTTTGGACGGCGGGGGCTTCTGGTTCCTGCTCTTCTCCTGCATCGAAGAACCCTTCCGGCAGACCACCAGCCGCCTTGGTGCGTTTCCGCGTCGTGTCCTCGTCGTCACTGGCCTTTCTCTTCTTGTTGCCGTCCACGTTTGGCGCGGCTTCGGGGGTAGTGGGCTCGGGTCTTTGTTCGCTGTCTTCGAGCTTCTGGAGTCGCATGATATGCCCCGCCGACCTCAAATGCCCGTCCCACAAGGATTCGCTCTTCAGCTGGAGGCGGCATACGGTACAGAGCAGCGTTCCTGTCGCCGAATAAGAGGCGTGTTTGTGGTGGATTTTGCGAGCTGCGCGCTCATTCTTGAGCAATGCTCGTACATCGGCCATAGCTGCAAGAGCTGATCCTGAACTAGAAGAGGATTGTAGACGTGGTGTTTAGGAGGATTCGCCGCTGTTGGAAGCTCTTGTCAGATGCAGACATATCCTAGCGGTCCCTCGGTGCCTCTGTAATTATTTCGAGCTGTCTCCCGCATTCGGCTTAGCTCACCGCCTTACATAAGCGACCGTTGTCATCGCCAGAATTGGCCGTCACACGTGATCCCCCGCAATATTGGCCGGAAATACAAGGCGCCGTCGCCCAATTTCCTCAGTTCCCACATAAACCACCAAACCACCACACACGACCCGTACAACCACCGTTTGACGCCCCCAACGCTCCATCACCCATCTCACTCCGAGAGCGAGGCATCAGAACACCAAGACATCTTCTCCATTGCTTCGTGACGACACTCGCACCCTTTTCCACTCCGCTCCTCCTCCGTGAGAGATCCGCGCAAAAGCACGCGCGACTTGGCAGGGACAGGGCCCCCAGATCAACGAAGAGAGTCGCGACAACCACCCGCGCGTGGCCAGGTCCGCAGAGGTCTCGTCGCCCGGATAGCTTCACTGTCTTCTCTCTCTCTATACTTTTTACTCTTTACTATCGCCCAGCATCTTAGCTTGTCTGTCTGTAAAGCCTAGTGACTCGCGTGAGAAACGCGTACTTGCTTGAAATCAATTCCGACGCAGTCTTCTTCCCCTGTAAAAGCTCAACACCGCGATTCGTGCTGCATTGTATTGGAACAAAACAGTCGTCGTCATGGCTGGTAAGCAATAGCATTATTTCCCCCGGCGCGCTGTGCGATCGACGCCAAAGAGGTGTGGGTCGTCGGCCACCAGCAACGTCAGTTTGGCAGAACATGGCTAACAGCTCCCTCTACAGACGAACCTGAGCCGCGAAGGTCGGTCCGCGCGACAAAAGGCCAGCATACGAAGATGGACTTGCTCGACCAGCCGGCTGAAGCAAAAAAGAGAGGCACCAAGAAGGGTGGCAAGAAACAAGCGGCGCAAGAAGAGGCCGAAGTCGAGGTCATCCGTTGCGTCTGCGGCGCTGTGGAGACCTCCCCCGACGACGACGAGCCCTGGATCGCCTGCGACAACTGCGGAGTCTGGCAACACAACATCTGCGTTGGTGTCAGCACGTATGACGACGAGCTGCCCGAGAATTACTTGTGCGAGCAATGCGACCCCGTCTTCCATAAGCCTTTGCTTGACGCCATGAGTCGCGGAGAGAAGCCATGGGAGGAAAATAGAAAGGCGTTCGAGCAGAGGCAGCAGGAAGAACAAGAGGTATCCAAGAGAAAGGGTAAGAAGGGGAAGGGGAAGAGACTGAGCGATCCAAAATCAGAGGCTGGTCAGGCCACCAATGGCAAAGCCAAGTCCCCGTCTACTCCTGTACCTGAGACCAAGAAAGAGAAGAAGGAACCAGCTAAGAGCGGAGGCTCGAAGAGAAAGAGCACACATGAGTCTCACGATAGTGAGTCTTCGAAGGTATGTTGAATCAGTCCACAAACGCTTAAACATGCTGCTAATCCGTACCAGGAGCCGCAGCCCAAGGTCCGCAAAGTATCACATCCTCCCCCTAAATCGCCCCCGTCAGACCTTGCAGCAAAGATTGTAGACCTCGACAGCGATCGTCAGGGAGCTGCAAAACTCATCTACAAAAGCCTGGTCGCTACTATTCCTGAGGCAGTCAAGACGAAGGTCTACGCCTTCAGTGCTGGGGACACTCTCGAAAGCAAAGCCGAGCGTCTGGCCATCCAGGTCGAGGATGCGCTCTACAAAACCCACCCCGATAAAACAGCATATGGCAAACAGGCCCGTGCCTTGTTCAGCAACATCAAGCACAACCAAGAGCTCTGCAATGGCCTGCTTACCAAGACCCTAGCGCCGTCTCACCTGGCTGTCATGACTACAGATGATATGGCAAGCAAGGAGCTGAAGCGAGAGACGGCTGAGATGAAGGCACGCTCGGATAAACAGTCCATCATGGTGACTGAAGATGGACCGAGAGTGCGAAGAACCCACAAAGGGGATGAGGTTATTGAAGGGGACAATTTCACTGTGCCGAGTGATACCACCACCTCTTTGGCAACACGCCGACGATTTTCCTTGGATCCTAATGATGAGATGACCTCGCGATCGCGGGACCACTCACCCGCTGGCCATGAAGTCGAACTACCTGGTGACATTGAGAACTACCAATCACGAGATAATATCAGAGGACAGGCAGTGCCAAAACAACCACTCGATATCGACACCAAGAAACAGCCTAGAAAGCCATCCTCTCATGGAGATTTTGATATCAACAAAGTCTTCTCGAGCGTTCAATCTCCAACCGGTCCCTCTAATTCCCATGCCCGACGACCATCTGGCAATGCTCCACCAGTCAACGGACCCGGCGTAGATCCTGAAATCGACAAAATGCTTGCAGATGACGATGGTAATGAATCTCCACCATACTCCCCGGCCGAGCACGACTCCGACCCGAGCATTGTCTGGCGTGGAATGGTCACGATGGATTCTATTGCCAAGTTCCCAGCAACTGCAAAGCATGTCGCCGGTGCAGATTTGAGCCGCAGTGCCACTCCGATGCCATGGAGCGATATTCTACAGAAGGATCTCCGCGTTGCCGGCCGGATTGACCAAGAGAAGGCCAACGAGTATCTCTGCAGCCTCCGCTATAGCCCTCCTACTGATGTTGTCGTTGTCAACGTCACACCCGCTGGCGAAGCAGCTTTGCAAGGTTTCCGGGACATGTTTGATTACTTTCACAGCAAGAATCGGTACGGGGTCCTTACCAACAAAGGCGTTGGCAACATCCGTGACACCTATCTTGTCCCGGTTGCGCCTAGCCCTGCTCCCCTACCTGATTTCCTCATCAACTTGGAAGGCCACAGGGTTTCCGAGAACCGATCAGAGCCAATTATTCTCGTTGCACTTGTCATCCGGAACGAGTGGCAACCCGGACAACAGCGAACTTTCGATGGCTCATCTGAGTCACGGTCTCCTTCACTGCAATCCTACCCCCAGCGCCAAATGTCCATATCAGGATCCGGCCCTCAGATGTCCCCCATTGCCCCACAAAACCCCACATTTGCCGCGGGACCTCCATCACAGTCACCCCACCCACCCCCACAACTCTCACCAGAAGACCTGCAAAGACGTCAACAGCAGGAGTTAGATCAACGACACGGAGAGGAAACAGCCGCTAAGATCCTGGGAGCATTTGTAAATGCACCTACGGTTGGCTTTTTGATGCCGCAAGCGTTCCAGATGAGACCGTCAGAGTGGGAGGTCATCCGTGATATTTTGGAGGTTGACGAGCGGGCGAGAAATGACCTCCAGCATCTTAGCCAGGTCCTGGAAATCAGGATGGCTCAGCAGCTGCCGGGACCCTCGGCCCCTGGTGGTCCTTAAACTCGTCAATTTTGACTGGCGAGAACGGTGTGAAAACCCCCCCTTTTCTTTTTTCTCAATGGGACTTGTCTTTTGGGAGGGACTCTTGATCGGCATCTGAAAAAAAGCCTTTGGTCGGTAGCACTGGTCTTTTGTTGTACGGTTCATGTTTTGTTATGGGCGATACCTCTATGAAATTCGGGCCAGGATATGACACTGGTCATCCTATTCCTCCGTTGAATTCTTTTTCCTTGCTTCCTGTACATATGAATCCAAAAAGAGTTAAGTTAATTACCAAGTCTGATTGCGAAATGTGTAATGTAGCTGAGGGAAAGACATAATCATCAGAGACCATTGCGAGACCCAAATGCTTCATGCTTTGCCTATAATCAACGACTGAACTAAAGCAAGACTTCTATTTATTCATATTCGATTATCAGACATTATTTGGACATTTGAGATTATATATTCCGATCAATTTCACTTGGGATCTTCAGATAGATAAGGTAAGGTGATCGACGCTTTTGTGAAATTGCCCGCTATGCCCGGTCCGTAGACGGGTCTCTAATTCTACAATGCATGAAATGAACTTTGCTAAGTAATTATTAAACTGTGATTTTCTTCTCATCCACTGGTGTTGCCATTTCCTCCGCCCAATCTCCAGGACCCTTCTCGGCGGTTGGTGATTTGACCTCGGTCTCCTTCTCGGTGGTGGATGGCTTGACCTCAGTCGCTGCTGCGGCAGATGGCGTGGGAGATTTTGCTGGAGTTGGAAGTGAAGGGAAATCCTCAGGAGTAGGTATTGTAGATGGAACAGCTCCTCCTCGCCCACCACCTCTACCACCCCGATTGCCTCTGCCCCGCCCTTCATGCCCTCCATAGCCTCCACGACCCCTCGAAGGTCGACCCGTATCTGGCCCTTCCTGGTCCGCAGTAGCATAACGAGAGCCCGCCAGACCACCCCTGATGATGCCGCCATGACCACCCCGTACATACTCGCTGCTGCGGCCCCTCCCCCGCCCATCCACAATGTCGCTATCGACTTTCTCACTATCCCATTCGCGTCCTCCCTGTGCCTGTAACTTCCTCTGCCTATTCTTCGCGCGCTCCATATCCTGATGACGTGTCGCTCGCTGCTCCTCAAGGCGCTTTTGTGCCGACTCCCTCTCTCGCATGGCGAAGGCCGCCGAGTCAGCTTCCGAAAGGCGGAAACGTTCTGCCTTCTGCGCGTTCAGGATCTTCATCTTCTCGAGCTTCTCCGCGAGTTCTTCTTCCGTGAGCTTCTTGTGTGCCGGTCCGCCGGTCGCAGATCGATCGCCGCGCACCGCCGGTGCTCGCGCAGGCTTGTCATTCTCGGGAGGTGGAGCTTGTGTCTGCGTCGTAGGAGGTGGGGAGGGGGCTGTCCTCGCGGGCGCGCTTGGATCGGTGCTGGGGGATGTAGAATTCTGCGCCTGTGTTTGTGATTCCGAGGTCTTGCTTGCTTCTGGCGCAGGAGAAGCAGCCGCCTCCGTCGCGTACTGAGAAGATGCTAGACCCGCGGGCCCAGCTCCTCTGCCTCTTTGTCCTCCTCCCCCGCCGCGTCTTTCTTGCCCGCCGCGGCCTCCTCTGCCTCCTCTGCCTTCTTGTCCTCCGCGCCCGCGCCCTTCGCCGCGTCCTCCCTCTCGCCTGCCTCGGTCGCTGGCGCCTCCATTCCCGGCTGGCCCTGACGCGCTGTCGGCGTGGCCAGCTCGGGGTGGAAGGCCATTGTGAGCAGAGACGGGGCGCGTGGTCTCTGGTTCAGGGACGATGACTGTCTCCTGAACAACAGGTTCGAAGTCGTCGGCGAAGAGGTCGTCGTCGCCGCGCGACTGGGCGAAGGGGTCGAATCTGTCGTCCATTCTCGCGGCGGGTGTCCTGTGAGGGGAATGATTTCGGATGCTTCTTCTTCAGCTGGGACTCGTCTCGGTATGTCAATGGGCTTCGATCGCCCAGAGGCCATGGTGCGGGGTGGTGATTGGTGGGCGGCTAAACTTCGGCGGTTGTCGGATGTCGGTGAAAGAAAGTTCCGACATCCGACTTCTGTTTATTTATAGTCTAGGCTAGTGAGGCTGGTGATGCTGTGTGGCTGATTCACACAACTACGACACGTGATCGACTTCCACCTATTAATCAAGTCCTCTGAATTACTTGTTGTTATTCGAAACTTTACAATGCCTAGAATTAGGAAATGTATGATTGTTTCCTTTGAATTGCTATGATTATTGCTTTTTGTCTAACCACTAGAATTCTTTCACATATTAAAAGTGACTTCAAGTTGCCTCGTACCTCTAAGGATCAAGTCACGTTAAGATGATATTTCTCCTTTGATTACTGTATTCATTTCAGATATTTCTAAGCTTTTGATTCTCAACTTCATCTTACAACCCTCACCAAGACATTTCTCATTTTCTAAAATTGACACGGAAAATCAGAGAGCGAACATCGAAATGGTGAAGAAGCCGGCGTCTCTGATCAAGTATACAAACGAGGCCCCGAGATGCATAAATGCTAGGTGCCTCTTTATAACACTAAGGAGAAGCCTGCTGGTACGGGTGTTGCAGTGTACCCCTATTCCAATAATATGTAGAGCTGTAGTATTGTTGTACCCAGTGACACTGTTCAGGGTCATGCCACCCTCCGGCATATGTAAGGAACCTGCTTTCGACATTTTTCCCATACTATGCCGATTCTAGTTCAACGGGCCAATAAGGATCGAGGGGTGAGCATGCCGGTATTGTGTGGATGGAGAGGTTCGAGAGCTGATAACAGGATATGCGATAATGCAGGGAAAGTCAGACGCGGCCTTGTTGGGTCGAGGGAGGATCCGTAACTCCACTTGGGAACAGAGACCAGAACCAGTTGCAACACCCATGGGATGTGGGGTTGGATTCTTGTGTGTAAAGTACAACAAGCCCAAGAAGATCGTTTCCATAGAGAGCCCTCGACAAACCTGGAGGTCTGAAATCTTGTGCCAGTTGGGCAGAATCGGGCACCACCACCAGAGCTGCCCGCTCTGTAAGCTGGAAGTTTGGGTTTGCTCCCGCAGATCGAGAGGCCTAATGGAGCTCTTATATCCTCTATCCACTTGGACAGAAAAATTAATGTCAAGTCTCAATCTCAGATTATATCGAGAATTCCGAATCCCAGAGTAACGTTTGTCGTGATAAAGCGAGATGTCATCGTTCCGCGCCGAGGCCCGCGACCGCTTCGGCCCGTCGCTCGAAGACGCCCACGTCAACAAACGACGACGACAACATTCCCGCTCTCGAAATTCAAGAGATTTAAGGGATTCAAGAGAACCAAGAGACCCAAGAGATATTCGAGAAGAGAGCCCCAGATATCCAGTCCCCGTCTATACATCACCCAGGCAGAGCGTTCTCCAGTCTCCGCCACGGTCCAGCTTTACTCCCCCTCAGTCCTTCTCTCCGTCCTCCAACGGCTCTTTCCAACAACCTTCTGTTCCACCACCACCACCAGACTCACTATGGCATCGACCTTTAAGCCCAACCCCGCGAAAGCTGGGCGATACGTCTTTCAGATATGTAGAATTAGACACAGCGCAGCATGAAATTCGGCTTTTGCGTATCCTTCCGGAAACGAGCTCGATCATTCAATGCGAATTACTACACACCTCGTTGGAAAATCCGCGGAGCTACATTGCTATATCATATGCGTGGGGCGATGTTGAGGAAACGCGGGCCATCATACTCGATGGACACGAATTTCCGGTCACCGAAAGCCTTTGGCTTGCTCTGCAGAGACTGAGGAGCCGGTCATTTCCTGTCATTGTATGGGCCGACGCCGTCTGCATCAACCAACAAAATACCATTGAGCGTAACTTTCAGATCCAGGAAATGGCCGCCATATACAGTAAAGCATACAGTGTGGCGATTTGGCTTGGGCCAGAAGCTGATAATAGCCACAAGGCCATCCAATTTATGCACGAATTGCTCGAAGCCGAGATAAAGGAAGAAGGTAGGGGTTGGATAACTAGAGATATCATTACATCGAGGAGACGGAGACCTGATCTACAATCTTTGGTTTGTCTGTTTCATAGAGACTATTGGAAGAGATTGTGGGTGGTGCAGGAAGTTACCAATGCCAGAGATGCCACTGTATATTGTGGTTCTTCTGCCATTCCTTGGGCCACTTACGAAGCTGCCTCACGTCTATTTCTGAAATATGCAGCCGAATTGGATACGGCTCAGCTTGAAGCCTCTGTTGAGGGAATTCCGCCCCCGTCGATACCTGTAAGAAGATCTTCGCGTTGGTCCACGGCCCTTTCTATCCATGGTCCTGGGCGTCTCAGAGATCAGATTGCGTTGAGCAGCAGCGCAGCTGGTTTACTCCCAGCTTTGCTCTTCCACAGGGATAGGAGCTGTGCCGATCCTCGAGATAAAGTCTATGGAATTTTGGGTTTACTTTCACCATATGAACGCTCCGAAATTCTGGTAGACTACAATATTCCAATCAGCCAGGTGTACATCAATGTGGTCGATTATCTATTGTCGACTACTCGACGGTTAGACGTTATCCGCGCAAGCATCCATCTTTTAGATCATGAAGCCGCGGTCAAGCTGCCTTCATGGGTGCCAGATTGGTCTTATAACCCTAATGTCAGACCGATGGTTAATAAAGAACGGCCTTTCTGTGCCTCGGGCAAAACAGACGTCAAGTTTGCATTCTCTGGTCGACGGAAACAACTTGAAATCTCCGCCATATTTATCGACACGATAGGCTCTACCGGTATCGATCTTTCCTCGCAAATTGGCGTAGACAATGCCGTCACGGCATTTTTTGCATGGCGATTAAGTGTCATCCAGAACAGCGGGTACGATATTGCCGCACATGAGGCATTCTGCAGAACCCTCTGCCTGGGCCAGTCTGACGACAGGTGGACATCACGAGAATGGATGGGAATGATCTATCATACGTTTGCAAGTCTGCTTCAAGAACGACTTCCAGCCTTGCCGCTGGATCCTCAGTTACAATACTACGCCGCTAACCCTTTTCCAATGTCAGCTGAACAACGCGAGGACATTTTTTATAGTCGCGTTATGGACTCGATGGCTGCAAGGCGATTCTCCATCGGTTGCACTGGATTGCTGTGTCTTGGTTCTAGCTTCGGGAGAAAGGATGACATTATCGTTATTCCTTTGGGTTGCTCGACTCCTATTATGCTTCGGAGGCAGGGTCAGGACTACATTTATGTCGGAGATATCTATGTTGATGGGTACATGTACGGCAGGGCAATCGATGAGCTGAATAATGGTATGCGGCAGTTACAAACATTTACACTCAATTAAAAGCAAATTAGGTGTCAGGAGATTTGATGTGTTTCTGGATGATGCGAGAGGCTTTACTAAGGTTTGGCTCGACTCAAGACCCCCAGACTATGCACCATACCCTGCCCTGTCCCTTTCATGTCTAAATATCGAAACCTATGAGGCAAACGGCATCCTTTCAACGAGGACATCTTACCTTTGAGATATAACTATGGAAGGTTTCACGTTAGAATCGATAGCAAATATTCTACTAACCAGGCCTATGATAAGTATCTAAGACGTGGAAAACACGGGAATTTATGGAAAAGTGCAATTGATACTCTCTATCAAGGCCTTTTCTTTTGATTATTCAACTAGAAATCTTGAAATGGACTTGGAAGATAGACATTGATCATCCATTGATCATTCATTGGCGGGCGTGACGCTCCCCCGCATATATCCTTGAACACGGCGTTACCCCCACTTGGACATACCTTATAGTCTCAGCACCGTAGCTTTTACAAAACGGCCATCTCAATTAACATGTCAGCTTGCAGTTCTGAGGAAACTCGGGGTAAATGGAGCGAAGAGCACTCCAGAGACTCTGTCGATTGGGTTCACATTGATTTGCGTTGCGACGATGACATCACCAGCAGTTCAACGCTGGACGAGCATCAGATGGGCGGGACTCATACATTTCCAACGGCATTGCCAGATTGGAGCAACCTCGAGGTGCTCCGCAGAAACACGCTTCCTGCAAGGGCATCCTTCTTCATCTATGATAACGTGAAGGATGCTCTGACACGTGATGTTTTGAAGTCGAAAAAACTATCTCTTTCTGGCACCTGGAAGTTCAACCTGGCCAAAAGCCCCTTTGATGCTCCGCCGGAGTTCTTTGAACGGACATTCGATGTAACTGGATGGGGAGATATCGAGGTTCCGGGGATGTGGCAGTTGCAGGGCTATGGAAAGGGGCCGCAGTAAGTACAAATTATATGGATGGAATTTAATATCAACCTCTGCTGATTTCATAAAAGGTACACCAACATCAATTATCCATTCCCAGTTGATCCAGGTAGTGTATCTTATACTGTTAATGAAACGGGATGTTATAGTCGGACGTTCAATGTCCCAGCTGCCTTCAAAGATCATCAATTAAGGCTGAGATTTGAAGGTGTTGATTCAGCTTTTCATGTTTGGGTCAATGGAAGAGAGGTAGGTTATGCACAGGGATCAAGGAATCCATCGGAGTTTGATATTACGAAGCTGGTCGATACGGATGGCGAGAATACTTTGGCAGTTCAAGTTTATCAGTTTTGTGACGGAAGCTATATCGAAGATCAGGTCAGCGCCGTCATCCCCTGTTAATATTAAGCTCCTATGCTAAGTTATGGACAGGACCAGTGGTGGTTGAGTGGTATATTTCGAGATGTCAACCTCCTGGCGTTCCCTAGTGTCCATATCCAAGACTTCAAAGTTGAGACTCACCTGGACAAAGAATACAAGGACGCGGTCCTATCAGTTAAAGCTGTGACAAACACTGCTTGTACAATAACCCTTCAACTATTCGACGCCTCTGGAAACCTCGTTGAAACACAAAATTCTCGCACTGGCAGTTTTAGCGTTTCCCTGAAGAACCCAAACAAGTGGACCGCAGAAACGCCCTATCTGTACCATCTCCTGTTGTCCATTGAGGACTGTGTTATCGAGCAGCGAGTTGGTTTCCGTACCTCGGAACTCAAAGATGGTATATTTGTGGTCAATGGGAAACCAGTAATATTCCGCGGTGTGAATCGACATGAGCATCACCCCGACTCTGGACGAGCCGTTCCTTACGATTTCCTCCATCGAGATCTTCTTCTCATGAAGAAATATAACATTAACGCTATTCGAACCTCGCACTATATCAATGACACAAGGCTATACGACCTCGCAGACGAGCTTGGGTTTTGGGTCCTGGACGAGTGTGACCTCGAATGCCATGGCGTTGAAAATATAGGAGGCAACCCGGCAAGTTGGCTATCCGACAATCCGGACTGGGAAGATGCATACGTTGATCGTGCAAGACAAGCGGTGATGAGAGACAAAAACCATGCTTCAGTGATCATGTGGTCTTTGGGTAATGAGGCTTTCTACGGTAGAAATCACCAGGCCATGTATGATTTCATTCGCGCGTATGACCCGACACGACTTATCCATTATGAAGCGGATCATGAAGCAAAGACTGTGGATATTTACAGTAAGATGTATGCCTCTTGTGACGAGATCATCAGATTTGCCACACAGTCTGAAACATGGGAGAAACCGCTGGTCTTGTGTGAATATATACATGCGATGGGGAATGGACCCGGGGCTATCAAAGAGTATGTAGAAGCCTTCTACAAGTACCCACGGCTCCTCGGGGGGTTTGTCTGGGAGTGGGCAAACCACGTTAGTCTGGACTTTCAGTTCGTAAGACCATGCTGACATAGCTAGGGGCTGAGGACCAAGAATGCCGATGGCGAAGAATATTATGGATACGGAGGGGATTTTGACGATGAGCCGAATGATGGCAACTTCGTTATGGACGGACTACTTTTCTCGGATCATACCCCAACACCAGGTCTCAGCGAATATAAGAAGGCAATCGAGCCGGTTCAGGTCCTTGGATTATCCGGCTCAGAAGTTACCATTATCAATAGATATGACCATATCACACTAGATCACTTGAGGTGCGAATGGACTATTGTTGGTGATGGACGTGTGGTGCGAGTAAAGGAGTGCGTGATTCCAAAAGGTCTATTTGACAACCCAGACAACCTAGAAAATAAAAACCACTAATCTCGTGGCAGGTATTCCACCCGGACGTACTGCAGTGCTTAAAATCGACGAACTCGTGGATAGCCCCTCGCCTCCGTCTCATGAACAGTATCTGAAGCTTGACTTTAGCCTCAGGAACTGCACTGCTTGGGCTGAAGCGGGACATGAAGTAGCATATGGTCAAATACAGTTGTCCCCACCGCTAGATTTTCGACTGCTCAAGGAGCTGAGACCACTGGCAACGGTCAAATGCAGCCAGGCATCACCTCAGGTACTTGAAATCACTGGTTCCAGTACCGTATGGAGGTTCAACATCATGCATGGCTCCTTAATCTCCTGGAGCAAATCAGGTGTTGAACTAATTCATACTCCGCCGTATCTGGATTTCTATCGTGCCGTAACAGACAACGACCGCCCTAGCTTTGGCCAATCCTGGTTTGATGCCCGCTTACACCAGACAAAATGTCATTTTCGCTCCGCAACTTGGTCAAGCAATCCTGAGAGTGTCAAGGTTGTGGTCTTGAGTCGTATTGCGCCTCCGGTATTTGAATGGTCTGTTGACACAACCTTCACGTATACGTTCACCAGCGAACAGCTCTCGATCAAAGTGTCTGGTGTCCCTCGAGGAAATAAACTGCCCACCACGTTTGCGAGGATTGGATTGACTTTTGCCCTCAACAACATGGAGAAAGCGAAGTGGTTTGGCCGTGGACCAGGGGAGTCATATCGGGACAAGAAACTTTCTCAGAAGATGGGCAACCACTCGGTCTCGATCGATGATCTCTTTACTGATTATGAGTTCCCCCAAGAAACGGGAAACAGGACAGACATCCGATGGGTGGAGTTTGTAGGAAAGGGACGGTCGTTGAAGGCATACTTCGGATCTCTAGAAGAAGCAAGCTTTAGTGCACTTCACTATACGACGACGGATCTAGATGAGTGCAAGCATCCGTATGAGCTGTACAAGAGGAAGAAGGAGGAAACGATTATCCGACTTGACTGGGCACACCATGGCCTGGGAACTGGAAGTTGTGGTCCGGCAACTTTGCCAGAATACCAATTAAAAGTTGCGCCATTCGAATATGAGGTACTGCTCGAATGAAGAGCTGCTGGGAGGTATCAATGGTACAACATTTTAGTACATACATAGAGCGGGAACACCTGAAAATTGTGCCCTGCCTGAAGATCTTTACCGTAACGCCCCAACTCAAGATATGAACTCCGTGATGATTGATTGCCCTTACCACCCACCCCTGTATCCTCTCCCTCTGCCTCTGAATCCACCCCGTCCGCCACCACGCCCTCCATATCCGCCACTCCTGCCGCCAAAACCTCCATCTCCATAGCCACCGTCATATCCCCGCCCTGAAGGGCCTTCACTATCCTCCGCCAGGGGCCTACTGCGTGTCTTCAACTCCTTAGGGAAAGCGTCATACGTCTTTCGCATTTGCGCGTACCCCAGATGCATCTTTCCATAGAAATGATCCGCCAATCTCCTATCATTATCCAGCCTGCTCAGATATGCACCACACACATCGCACACCTGTAATTTCTGATGCCCGCTCGGCCCACTGGTATCTGACAACGCCTTCAATTCTCTTTCCTTGTCACCCTTTGTCTGCATCGCTTGTCGAATCCGGAAGAATTCCTCGTATGCCCTTGAGACCTCTGATTGTTCCCCCAACACTTGTATCTCTAGCAGACCTGCCTCAATGCTCTTAGACAGATCTGAAATTTGCTTCAAAAGCGCATTCGTTTGCCGGATCTCGTCAGGTGTTTTCTCTAGCCTCCTCTGCGCGACGTCAATCCGACGATTACACTCATCGATATATTTCTGCAGGTCCCTCATATAATCGTAGTCGAATCCCCATTTTGCTTTCTCCGCAGGCGAGGCAGCTTCGTACTCGGCCTTCAGAGGCTCGGAATGAACTTTGGGACAGGGCCCCAGGTCTTGCTTGGTATTGGTGAAGAGGTCATGGGGACAAGTACCGACGAGGAATGACCGGCAAACCTTGGGATCGGTGATGGAGAGTTGGGCGGAGCGCGAGGACGCACCGGCGCCCATGAGCTGTTCTGTAAAGAGATGTTAGCAAGAGCTTGAACGTCTGAGTGATGCGCCAACAGTGACAGCGGCTATTCAAAAATAGGAAGCAAACAGGGAAAACCATACCAAGCAATTTTCGTTGTTCCGCCGCCATCCTGAAGTGCTGTTAGAATAAATAGAGATTTCTGAGTCGAGTATTTGATATTGGAACAGCTGTGTTCAGACGCGGCTCTGAGGTAAATTTCAGCCGCGCAAGGCTCGCGCCAAAACTCGCCTGCTGGTCCCCATCAACCTCCACTCCCCCTTAACAAGTCTCAGCCTCTTTATCTACGCCAATGCTCTCCCTTTAATCCCGTCGGCGCTGGTTGCCATGCGTCAGTTACAGTCACTACTGGTCTTTCTAGCCGCGATCCTCACATTTGCGCGCGCTTCTTCAGACTACCACGAGCAACTCGTTCTTCGACCCTTACAGCCCTCCCTACTACTAGCCTCGTTCAACTTCCAAAGTAATACAACTTGGGCATCTTTCGAGCAGCAGAACTTTCGATACTTCCCTCGATCGCTTGGACAGATTCTCCAACATGCCAATACGCGCGAATTGCATTTGAGGTTTAGCTTGGGGCAATGGGACGCTGAGAATTGGGGCGCCAGACCGTGGAAAGGCGCGCGAGAAGGCGGGACGGGCGTAGAGCTGTGGGCTTGGGTTGAGGCCGAGACGGATGAGGAGTAGGTGACAGTTAGGATATAGGGATTGATCTACTGTATGCTGATTCTGTGCAGGGCTGATGGGCGATGGTTGACGTTGACGAATGCTTTGTCTGGCCTCTTCTGCGCCTCGTTGAATTTTATCGATTCGACGAGAACGACAAGACCAGTGCTGTCTTTTCAACCCTCCGGCTATCATACGAACTCAACCGCTTCAAAATTACACTTGCTTCACGGGACTCTACCTAGGGAGGTTGTGTGTACGGAGAACTTGACGCCTTTCCTCAAGCTGTTGCCGTGCAAAGGAAAGGCGGGAATATCGAGCCTTTTGGATGGGCACAAGTTATTCGATGCATCGTGGCAAAGCATGTCACTAGATGTTACGCCAATTTGCCGGTCAGGATCAGAGGATTGCCAGCTCCAGATCACTCAGACGACTGATATGGTATTGGATATCCAGAGATCGAAGCGTCCGAGAGGTAGGTTAATTGTATGGGGATGAGTTGAACGATGAAGCTGACTGATCTAGACAATCCGATTCCAAGGCCTATACCGAGTGAAGAACTCAAATGCGACACCTCGAAACCATATAATTCTTTTGACACCTGCTATCCTCTGGACATCTCCGCCCAGGAAGAAGAGTGGAGTCTGTCACAAATTTTTGGTCATACGATGAAAGGATCATGTCCATTGGCTGAGAATGAAAGCTATCCAGTGTGCATCAATGTACCGCATGCTCGGGACATCTACACTTCTGGTGCGCGTGAACATAAAGACGAATCAGGTTATATGCGATGCTTCGAATTGACACCGCAAGAGGACTTCGAAATGATTTTACCACCGCAAGATTTATCAGAAAGGGCCCCCCTCGAGCAGCCACTGCTGTATGCTGAACGCTCATTCATCGGTTACGGTCAAGAACGAGGAGGTGTTCAGGCCATCCTCACCAACCCTTCGCCCACAGATGCTGTTGATTTCGTGTACATGGAGTCTCTCCCATGGTTTATGAAACTCTACCTGCATACTCTGAAAGCCAAAATCAATGGGAATTCGGAAGACGTCATACAGGAGATGTACTACCGTCCCGCGCTCGACCGAAAAAGGGGCACCCAACTGGAAGTTCGGATTCTCATTCCTGCGAATTCAACAGTTGTCCTGACTTATGATTTCGAGAAAGCCATCCTCCGATACACTGAATATCCACCGGACGCGAATCGTGGCTTCGACATCGCGCCGGCGGTTATCACGATTGGGAATGTGAGCATCAGAACGACGAGTCTGCTCTTGCCGCTGCCCACCCCGGATTTCAGCATGCCATATAATGTTATCATTCTTACCAGCACCATCATGGCGTTGGCGTTTGGGAGTATATTTAATTTGCTAGTGAGGAGGTTTGTGGCCGCAGATGAGGCGGAGAAGTGGGATGTCAGGGCGCTCCGACTGATAATCAAGGGGGCAATCAGTAGGTTCGCGAGGAGATTTATGAAGAAGACGACGAAAAAGGACTGAAAGATGAATAGAGATTTACATGAAATATACACTTTAAGCTCCTCATGCCACAAGGGACATGAGAAGTTCGTGACCTGGGCTCTTGTTCAGAAAAGCCATGCTAGTTGGGCCACGTGAAGAAGGCCAACTTGACAGCCTCGCCCTCGATATCCAGCCTCTACCAGCTGGGAGGCCGTGGTACGTTGCATACCGCTGACCCGAGGAGGGTGGATGAGGTTCTTGGCGCAACTGCTCAAGCTGCGCAGCTCTGGTTGGACGAGATAGTTCTTGGGACCAGACTGATGGTACATGCGGCCGAGATCCTCACTGTTCCCCTACTGTTCCCCTATGTCTAAGCAGCTTCTACGCAATAGTAGCACACAGTAGCACGGTTTAGTAGCCAGCTGTAAGGCAATAAGGGGTCATGCGACTGGAAACACTCCGTGCCCCTTACCAGCCCGGCCCTTGGATCCTTGATATCGTCGGCGGCGCTTTCTTCTCGACCGCCGACCTATAATGAGACCCCGATCCCCCCAACCGCCGAAAGCACGGGGAATGCCAGTCGCAGTCGGGGGTTTTCTGGCGTAACGTTGCTCTTCGAGATCTGAATTAGAACGGTACTGTACACGGGTACCTTGTCAGGATCACGGCAGTGGTAAATTGGGTAAGGATGGCCTTGTAAGGGACGAGTGCGGCGAGCAGCTCCTTTGGAGTTGAAGTCGTCCAGATAAGGTTCGTCCGAACGTTCCCTCGACCAATTAGGAAGGTGGGTGAGCCGCGCCCCCCATGATCCCATCACCGGAGGAAATATGGGATTCCGTCTCTATCTTCTGCACAGGGCTCAAGTTACTTTCTCGCGCTGCAAATAATTGCGACCATCAACCCCCTCCTACTGAGGCAGCATTGAGGACCTCTGAGTCCGTCGCCATGTCTCTGTCCGCGGTTTCAGGGAGCAACAGTGGAGCCGGGCGTGATGTGCCCAGAGTTGGCTTCGTGCCGCACACCATGCAGGCCATTCCCTCCGAGTTAACATACCTCTCTCTGCCATGACGCGCCGTCCGCCATATGATCATGGCCTCTCAAGGTATTGTAACGTTGATCTGCTTGCTTGGTGCATCTTGGATTCCTTTGGCAGAGGGCCGGCTTCAGGACCGCTTTCTGGTAAATGATATATATATATATGTCAAGCATCATGTTCTTGATCTTGCTCTCCATCCGACAACCAGCGACCAGTCGTCCGATCCATTCAATACACGGACCATGATGTTTCCATCCTTCCATCTTCTGCTGCTGCCTTTGGCACTTTTCTCTTCAGTCTGCACGGCTGCCCCGGCTACTACGGCTTCTACCAGTGTATTAAGCCGCGCCGTTTCAGGATACCGAAACGCTGCATATTTTGTGAACTGGTAACAATAAAATCCTCCTGGAGATTCGCATATGTCTGACATGTTATTAGGGCAATCTATGGCAGGAACTTCCAGCCTCAGCAACTTCCAGCATCTGAATTGACCCACGTTCTTTACGCATTTGCCAACCTTAATTCAGACGGCACAGTGTTAGTACCCAGACTGTCTTTAGATGTTAGAGGCCTCCTTAGCTAACAAAATCTTTCCAGGGTCCTCTCGGATAGCTATGCCGATTTGCAGAAGCATTATGACACAGATTCATGGAATGACCAGGGAAACAACGTCTATGGTTGCATCAAACAACTTTACATTCTCAAGAAGCACAATCGACAGATGAAAGTGCTACTTAGCATTGGAGGCTGGACCTATTCTACCAACTTCGCTGCTGTTGCAGGCAGCGCATCAAGCCGCTCTACCTTCGTTTCTACTGCAGTTGAATTTGTCAAGGACCTGGGGCTCGACGGTATCGATATCGACTGGGAATATCCCGCAAACGACACAGATGCTTCAAACTTTGTTCTTCTTCTCCAGGAACTCCGCCAAGGATTGGATGCATATGCAGCACAGTATGCCCCATCCAACACATTCCTCATCACTGTTGCTTGTCCCGCCGGACCCACGAATTATGAAGTCCTCCATATGAGTGACATGGATGCATACCTGGATGCGTGGCATCTGATGGCCTACGATTATGCCGGATCCTGGAGCAACTACTCGGGTCATGACGCAAATCTGTACCCAAACCCTTCGAACCCTAATGCCACTCCCTACAACACGGATCAAGCTGTTGCGGCTTACATTGCAGGCGGCGTTCCAGCAAACAAGATTGTGATGGGTATCCCTATCTATGGTCGATCATTTGAGTCCACTGCTGGCCTTGGCGACACTTATAATGGAATCGGCTCCGGGAGCTGGGAGAATGGAGTATGGGATTACAAAGCGCTCCCCAAGGCCGGCGCCACAGAGTACTTTGATGAAACGGCAGTAGCATCCTACAGCTACGACCCTTCTTCCCAAGAACTCATCAGTTATGACAATGTTCAGGTAGCCCAGCTCAAAGCGAAGTACATCGAGAACAAGGGTCTCGGGGGTGCGATGTACTGGGAGAGTAGTGCCGACAAAAATGGATCGCAGAGTCTGATTGGAACGATCGCGGGAAGCTTTGGGAACTTGGACCAGAGTGAGAATTGCTTGAACTACTCTGGGAGTGTTTACGCTAACATGGCGGCTGGTATGCCGGGAGAGTAAGTTTGAAAGGAGTCTCACGTGGTCAACCGGGTTTCTTGTATATACTTCGGTTTGGAGAGTTGTATATACCTTTGTCATGCAGTTGGCTGAATTATCAGATATCCCTTTGCTTGGACAATAGATTCTGCCGTATATGTTCTGGTGCACAAGTTGGGCGACGTTGGGGGGAGATCAATGATCGATCTCAATGTCTGTCTTTGCCAGTTAGTGACTAAGAATCGCCCCTCTATAACCCAGAACGAGACCATGGAAATTGAGAGTCTGTGAGTGCAGGTACCTACGGCACTCTATCTTACGGTGAGACTCGAACCGGTTCCGTCCTCCTAAGTACCTTAAGAAAATACTTATTCGTACCTGTTACTATGTAATATACTTCTATTTCCAATATATATAAGGTCTGCGGCTCACGCTTCAGTCTTGGTTAGAAGATCTTCGCAAGGAGCAGTGTGATCGGGACTATCTATAATCCGAACGGTATAATATTGGTCCCTTTCCGGGTCGGGCCGGTGTTGCGCCGCATCATCATCGGTGCATCGGCGCTTTGTCTGGCGACCACTGGAGAAACCAACCTACCAGAAACACACAACTTTACCCTGTTTGCAAGCATCTCAGATGAATCAGATTCTTCAGGTGCCTCCTCGGGATGGCAATGGTGATGTACCCATCGGCCTGTCCGATCCGTCGCGTGCGGCAAGGTAACACTCATGATTTCACTAACTCACGGTAAGTACTAAGCTCTAGCATTCGCATTTATATCTATCTTGTCTCTACGAAGAAACATCTTGAGAGAACTTGAGTTAGAACTTGAGAAAGATTCTGAGGACTTCGATTTCTATTTTCTTGACCTCTTCTTCTTCTATTTCCCCTCATATACACACCCTATCATGTCAGAGCCCATTCCAGGCCCGCCCGGCCTTCCAATTCTGGGCAACATCAACAGCATCGACCGAACAGACACTACCACCAGTCTCTGCCACCTTGCCGACACGTATGGTAATTGGTCTCCTATGATCTTCTATCCAGACTCACTGTGATTAACAACATCACTATGCAGGCCCCATCTTCAAGCTTACCTTCGGCGGTAACGAGAGGCTCTTCATCTCGACCCACGCCTTGATGGATGAAGTATGCGACGAGACGCGGTTTACGAAAATGGTCTCTGGCGGCTTGGAACAAATTTGGAACGGCGTTGCAGATGGCCTCTTCACAGCTTACCCTGGAGAACACAATTGGGAAATCGCACACCGAGTGCTGATGCCGGGTAGGTTGGTTTGGACTTAGTGTGACAATAATAGTTGCTGATCGAAACAGCTTTTGGTCCGGTCTCTATTCGTTCCATGTTTGACGAGATGCACGACATAGCGTCGCAATTGGTGGCGAAATGGGCGAGGTTTGGCCCCAAGGAGAAGATCAACGTGACGGAAGATTTCACCCGACTGACATTAGATTCGATTGCCTTGTAGGTTAAGGCATTTCCCCCTTTTGTGGACGGCGTTTGCTGATAATGACCAAGATGCGCCATGGATACCCGTTTTAATAGCTTTTATCACGAGGAGATGCATCCGTTTGTTAATGCGATGGTCGGCTTGCTACAAGAATCAGGTGCGAGAGCAAGGAGACCGGCGGTTATGAATTACTTCATGCGCTCAACCCAACAGAAGTATGACTCCGATATTGCCCTGTTGAAAAAGGTTGCCTCAGAAGTTGTCGCTGAACGCAAATCAAATCCGATTGACAAGAAAGATTTGTTGAATGCAATGATAAACGGGAGGGATCCGAAGACTGGCGAAGGAATGACTGAGGAGAGCGTCTTGAACAATATGATCACATTTTTGATTGCCGGTATGTTTATATTTTGCATAACCCATTGATCTATTTGGACCAGTTCATCTGGAACTGGTTCTAATGTCTGGGCGTCTTTGAGACCTGAGATACATTCCCACCAGGCAAGACTTAGGATTCCTACAACCATTCCAGCAATCATAGATACTCAACACCCACTCAAACACGTCGAGTGAACAGAACTAATGCCATCTAGGTCATGAAACTACCAGTGGTCTTCTGTCATTTCTCTTCTATAATCTCATCAAAAACCCGGCTGCATACCATGCTGCACAACAACAAATTGACGAAGTTGTCGGTCGCGGGCCAATTACCGTAGATCATATGTCAAAACTTCCTTATATCGAGGCATGTCTAAGGGAGACGCTTAGACTCACACCAACTGCCCCCGCTTTTGTTCTCCAGGCCCGGCCCGACACCACGGAGGATCATGTGTACCTGGAAGGTGGAAAGTATGAAATCAAAAGGGGCCAGGGGATTGTCGCCTTACTCTCACAAATCCACCGTGATCCAGCTGTTTATGGCAATGATGCCAATTCCTTCAGGCCCGAGAGGATGCTGGACGAACCTTTCTCGAAGCTCCCTAAAAACTCCTGGAAGCCTTTTGGAAATGGCATGCGTGGATGTATCGGTAGGCCGTTTGCTTGGCAAGAGTCAATCCTCACCACCGCCCTTCTTCTCCAGAACTTCAATTTCCGTTTCCACGACTCGAGCTACCAACTCCAGATAAAGCAAACCCTTACGATCAAGCCGAAAGACTTCTTCATGCATGCTACTCTGAGAGATCACGTCGATCCTGTCCATCTTGAAAAGATGCTTCACATGGGTTCGTCGGTAACAGTTCAAAATCCGGAGAAGAATGACAAGGTCCATGCTTCTGCATCTGAAGAACCAAAGAAATCGATGAGAATACTCTACGGCTCGAATGCTGGGACATGTGAGGCATTGGCTCAGAATCTGGCGAGAGCCGCATCGAGTCGAGGATACCGTGCTCAGGTGGATCCACTCGATTCGGCTGTTGGTAATGTATCCAGGGGCCAGCCAGTGGTCTTGATTTGTTCGAGCTATGAAGGTCAACCTCCTGATAACGCCGTCCATTTTGTGGAATGGCTTCGAAATCTGGCAGGAGAGGAACTGGAAGGGGTAAAGTACGCCGTATACGGCTGTGGAAACCGTAAGTTCTAGAGTCTTATCATATCATTGCCAACTGTTATATTGCAAAGCTCGATTTCGTTGAATCCGAGCATACAAATCTCTGAGACCGTGTCAGTAGATATGATCAAATCCTTGCTAGCCACTTGGATCAGATGAATCAAAAATCATGATGTTCGATCCGCAGTTAATGCTATCAGGGCGGAATTATTAGGCTGACATCTCCAGATGATTGGGCTGCCACTTTTCACAGGGTTCCGAAGCTTCTCTATTCCACATTTGAAGAACATGGCGCCGGTAGAATCGCCGAGATTGGTCTTGGAGATGTGGCTAGGGGCGACATATTTGACGATTTTGATAAATGGCAAGACGAACAATTCTGGCCATCCCTTGGAGGTGAGGTCGATACAGAAGAGTCTGGAATTGGGATCGAAATTAATACAGCTTCTCGTCGGTCTACCCTCCGCCAGGACGTCAAGGAAGCTATCGTCGTGCGCAACGAACTATTGACAGCGCAGGGGGTCCCTGAGAAGAGACATATTGTGTTGAATCTCCCAACCGGAATGACATACAAGGTCGGGGACTATGTCGCGGTTCTACCTATGAATGACCAGAAAAATGTCCGCCGAGTCATGAAGCATTATGGCCTGCCCTGGGATGCGATGCTAACGATAAAGGTTGGGGCAAATACGACTTTGCCAACTGGTCATCCGATTTCTGCGATGGATGTGTTGGGCGCATATGTTGAGCTGAACCAAACAGCAACGCGAAAGGTACATCTGTAGAAGTTGAAGGCCAGTTGATTCAAACTGACGCTTTGAATAGAATATTGTGCGCATTGCTGCGAGCACTCCGGACGAGCAAGCTCGTGCCAAGATCCTGGGCCTCGCCGGGAAACGTTTTGAGAGCGAGATCGCAATGAAGAATCGCTCTCCCTTAGATCTGCTTGAGGAATATCCGACGGCTATGCTACCCTTTGCAGATTTTCTTGCTATGCTGCCACCTATGCGCGTCCGTCAATATTCGATATCTTCAACTCCTCTGTCAGATCCAACGACGGCGGCACTGACGTGGTCCGTCCTCGATACTCCTTCGAAAGCCGCAGACTCAAAACAATTTCTAGGCGTTGCATCGAACTATCTGTCAAGCGTAGAGGCAGGTGACTTGGTTTATGTGGCCGTCAAACCAAGTCATGGGAACTTCCATCTCCCAAATGATATAGAGAATACCCCTCTGATAATGGTCTGTGCCGGGTCTGGTCTTGCTCCTTTTCGTGGTTTTGTCCAAGAGCGAGCAATACAGGTCCGGGCCGGTCGCAGACTTGCTTCTGCTTACCTATTCATTGGTTGCACACATCCAGATAAAGATGCTCTATTCAAGGATGAACTTCAACAATGGGAGGAGGACGGAGTGGTGAAAGTATTCTATGCATATTCAAAAGCCAAAGAACAGAGCAAAGAGTGCCGGCACGTGCAAGACAGACTCTGGAAAGAAAGAGAAGAAATGATCAAGGTCTTCCTCGAAGGTGCGAAACTGTACGTTTGCGGGTCGAGTATGGTCGGGGAGAGTGTGGCGAGTGTGACGAAAAGGATCTATCAGGATTATGCGGAGTCTCTGGGGAAGCCCAAGACGGACGAGGAGGTTGAGCACTGGTTCCAGGAAATCAAGAGTGATCGCTATGCTGCAGATGTATTTGCTTAGAGTCTCAGATCTCGGTGATAATAGCCCAGGAAGCTCAACATTTTCAACTTCTGGCTCAATCGGGAAGATATCCAGCCAAATTTAGGGGGTTTAGGTTTGAGTGATGTGTTAATCAAAATCTTTCTTAACAGAACCTACACCCGCAGCTTCTGACAACACATATATAAGGTCAGTAAGAACTTTACAAAGCTTGGTTTGGTAATCTCTCCCTCCAGAGTGTGTGTGTGTATTTTTGCTCTACAGAATTCGTACCTGATTATAGCTATTGCTGATCTTGGTTTGCTGCCATTGCTTGACTGAGACCAATTTCTTGCGATATTCATCAACTTCTTGGTCAACTTTTAGAAATCTCTGAATAGGTTGGATTTGTGGCAATAGGATAAACTTTGACTTGAGAACTCCTACGGAGTAGAATCAACCGTCCCGCGTCCTGATCTGGTCCCGCCCCGCCCCGCTCGGGATTTAGGGGTCCCGAAGTGGCAGGTCGGAAATACCGCGGGATTATGGGACGGTGCCCCTCCTTCCGCCGCTTTAGGCGAAACAAAAGTGGGCGCTTCACCTCGAGCTTAATTAAGGGAAGTCTTTCTCCACGACACCTCTACTCCTTCACTCGCCGACCCAATTCAATTGTCTTAGGGAACACCGAATCGCATACATTGCCGATTGTAATATACAGTTTTTATTTTTATTTGCAGAAAAACAAAACGACACATCAGCCAAGATGCCCGAACAAGGATATCCACAGACGGGAAAACGCTTTGAGCCTAAGAACATGCTCTTCAGATATCTTGGGGACACTGGGCTCAAGGTATCGGTGCTGGGTCTTGGAGGATGGCTCACGTATGGTAGCGAGAACGGGGTGAAGGAAGTCGATCAGACGGCAGAATGTCTCCAGGAAGCATGGAACCATGGAATCAACTTCTTCGACACCGCAGAGGTGTACGCCGAAGGAAAATCCGAGATCATCATGGGAAGGGCTCTGAAGCAGTGTAACTTTGAGCGGGACGACTACGTGCTCGCAACGAAGCTGTACTTTGGAGATGGCGAGAGCCTCTTGGCCTCATTGCCCAGTAAAAGCATAGCTGACGATTGACGTCGACAGGAAACGGATTCCCAAACAACCATGGCTTATCGCGGAAGCATATCATTGAGGGCATGAAGCGATCGCTCAAGCGTCTTGAAATGGACTCTGTCGATATTGTCTACGCTCATCGTGCCGATTTTTGGTGTACGCCGATGGAGGAAACTGTCCGCGCCTTTAACACGATTATTGAAAATGGCCAAGCTCATTATTGGGGAACCAGCGAATGGAGTGCTTTCGAGATCGAACATGCTAAGCACGTTGCGACTCGTCTTGGCCTTCAAGGTCCAGTCGTCGAACAGCCTCAATACAACATGTTTGTTCGCGACAGATTTGAGGCGGAATACGCCCCTCTATATAAGCTCTATAACTATGGTACCACGGTATGGTCGCCACTGTACCAGGGGATCTTAACCGGGAAATATAACGATGGGGTGCCAGCCGACTCTCGGTATGGTAAAATCTCAAAGAGCTCGGCATCGAAATTTGATCAGCCGGAGACGAAGGCCCAGATCGAGAAGGTCAGGAAGCTTACCAAGGTTGCGGAGAAGCTTGGCGGCTCAGTGGCATCTCTGGCTTTGGCCTGGGTTATCAAGAATCCCCATGTCTCAGTTGCGATTCTTGGCGCTACGAAGGCTTCCCAGATTACCGAGAACGTTAAGTGTCTTGAGCTTTACCCGAAGATGACAGATGAGGTGATGAAAGAGATTGAGGAGATTCTGAGCAATGCTCCTAAGATGCCGGGACCTAGTGCGCCAAGCCGAGCGCAAATGACTCTGAACAAGGCGCTCATGTAAGGGAAATGGTTTGTGTTTTGACGGACGGTATATGTGAGGTACAAGTAGAGAAAGCAAATGCTCGTTGCGTATCAAGGCTCTAAAAGTCTATACCTGACTGACATTGGCCTTAGAGAGAGATGTATTACTGTCTATACCCCAGGAGCTTGAATTTTATGTGCCTAACCACCCAATGCTCGCACTATGCCTGATGATACTTTTCTATATAAGACCATACTAGTCACCAAGAAGAAGAAATTCGTGACTCTTAACACTGCTTGCATTAATAACTCATAGTGAGCTAGCTCCCCGCAGCCGGTCTGTCCTCGGGGACCCAGTGTAATATCGTCCACGGAGATTTAGCAAAAGTCTCTTTATATAATTGTCTTTAAACTGCGATGGTTCTTGTAATTAGCAGCTAGTTAGTAATCTCGCCACTACTTCTCAGGTGTCCAACGATCTTCCATGCCCTCCTCGCCGTACATATTATTTCGCATGTGCTCTAGATCTAGCCTGTCATACCAACTAACATGCTGGTCGAGAAACTCGATGATGCTGTCGAAAACAGGTAAAGATGCATCCATAATCCCGTCCTCTAATGATGTAGCCCTAGCCACTAGGCTCGTCTTTATTTTCCTTAAACCTCCGGCGCAAGAGATAATAACTGTATCATTCATAGTCCTCAAATTTCCAAGTATGGCTCATCACGAAACCCCCTGCAGCCTCCACTTCATCACTTATGCAAAGCAAGTCATTAAGATCAACTAATGTAAGAGCTCCACCACTCACCCAGCCTTGAAAGACTTCCAAGTCTATGCCCTCATCCGTATTACAGTGGCACGGGTTCCTACTCACACATCCTCATCATCTCGAAAGTCACAATTATGATAGAAGTGTTGGCGGGAGATTGAGGCGCCTTTCCGTACCTAAAAATGAGTTGGGTGCTTACCTAAGCCATGGGACGATCCGGCCCCACCCTTACTCTATTTTAACCGCGCTCGAGCCGCGCGGGTCCTCGGCCCTTTTTAACCCGAGACCACGTGCGTGTTACCTTGAACATTTATCCTTTCCAGACAACATTATTATATTACATCGAGTCTCGACTGATCGTATCTGCTGAGAATAGAGCCCTTCAACATTAATCAAGGCGATATTTGATGACGCCATGTCCCAAGCAAGCATCGACGAGGCTACAAATGTTATACTGACGGCTGATCTTACCCGCATCGAACATCGGCTACTTCTCGACTTCATCCAGCAAGCAACTGACCCCGGTCTAGCTGCGCGTGAAGTTCTCAACAGGGTGAGGCCTGATACAGACCGTCCAGTAGAAGAAGCTTTGCGCGACTTGAAGAAGGACTGGCACAGGCTGGTTGCAACAGGTCGATATCTGAATTGAACCCCAATCTAGGCGTCGGTGGCATGCCAATGCTAAACTCTTCACAGTCGCTCGCTCAACGCCAGTCCATGCTTCCCTCAGAGACCGCGTTTACTGTCGTGATCAATCCCGGTGCTGCGTAACACCTCTGGACCGTCGGCAACTCTGTGAACCGGAAGTCACGTTCATTCTTCCGCCGGCGTTACTAGGGCTCAGGGATGAGAATGGAGTTGAGGTAGCTGCTCAAGCCTCGATATTTGTAACATTTGATTCTGATTTTTTTAATAAAGCACCCATCGCACTCGCTGATGGACGCATTTATGACGCCATCCGGAGCGTCGCGGTTACGGAACATGCTTTCGGACACAAATGATCAAGGCATTCTCGCCAACACTTGGCTGCTAGCACCAAGTATAGCCTACGCCTTTCGAAATGGCCATCTTCAGATCCAACCACGCAAAATTTTGGATTGGAAAGAGTTCGATGAGAATTCAGCTGAGAATGCATCGAGGGCCGAAGTAAGTATATCCGAACCAGAACCACATATCGGCGTCCAATGACGATTTACTAGTACCAAATAATGCCCATTTATCCAGAACCGTATGGGGACATTCTTCTAGCTGACGGATCTCCTTTTGATGAGGAGAATTGCTTTCGAAACTTTGTTCTACAGACCGAGGACCCCAAAGAACTTCCTCTCCCGAGCCCCTTTCTCTTGAAAACCCATTACAAACTTGTCAATGCCCTGCATCACTTCTATGTCGAGGAGCGCATCGCTGAAGGCTGGCCGCCTCTACAGTCTCGATGTGAGTTTGCTATCCATCCCAGGTCACTGCGGTACTGATCAGTACCTTTCCTCCGTCGAATAGCATTCCTGAGCCGCCATGTTCAGCTCATAGCCCGTAATATCTGGCTCCTTCTGCCAAAGTTCGTTCGTACTATCTGCTATCGCCGTCTCCTGAATGCTGGGAAGTTACGATATCCGCAAGATATCTCGTTCGTCCTGCAGCAGCTCCCTCTCGGCCTCTATGCAAAGAGATGCGACCGGTCTCAGCACAATGAACCTAACGCGCTTAAGCTTCTCGAAAAACAAGCACCGTCTGTCCCTGCGCCTCTTCTCATTGACACTTTCCAGGACGTAGATGGGGACGACTGGTTCGTCATGACTCGGCTCCCTGGCGTCCGCGTGCACGATGTTCTCTATCGCATGTCTTACACGGAGCGAAATCAGCTGGCTGATGACCTATCTCGTATTCTTGACCAGATGCACCAGATTCCAAATAAGACCCCCTATCTTTTTGCCAATGTATTAGGGGGGCCTATCATCGACCGCCGCGCTGCGTGTGGAGGGTGCGGCCCGTACAACAGCGAAGCCGACTTGAATGTCCAGCTTGCCAAAGGCGTCCAGCAATACTTAAAGCAAGACATACCGACGGCGTTTTCTCGGACTCATAAGTCGGTGTTCACGCACTCGGATCTCTTCTTTTCGAATGTGCTCGTTGATGGTGGGCGTTTGTCTGGGATTGTGGACTGGGAGTGCGCTGGGTTCATGCCTGAATACTGGGAGTTTACGAAAGCGATGCGGTCAGGCATGCTTGATTATGATGCACAGGCAGTGTATCGTCGGATATGGGGAAATCGGTTCGATGAGGAACTTGAGGTGGAGCAGTGGCTTTGGCGGGTGTTCCCATTTGGTGGGCCAGAGGCGTAGTAAGGCGGTGTTTAGGAGATAGCAATAAAAAGGCGAGATTTAGGTTAGGATTAGGACGTTTAGCTTTTTCATCTCCCTCTCCCTAGCCTTCCTCTTCTTCTATTCGCGGCATCCCTGAAACACTACTTGCGCATATATAACCCTACGTTGTACCTACCTATTAACCTTAACTACCTACCTATACCTTCCTCATTTTTTTCTTTCCCTCTATTGCCGCCGCAATGGAGCATACTCGCTCATGGGTTTCCGTAGCGGACCAGTTCCTACTGGTTCGTTCTGTCCTGATACCCTCATTGCGCCCTAACCCCCCTTCTCTCCGCCGACAAACTACTCTGGATACACCAAAAGCTGACACGTCTACCTAACCTTTCACAGGAAGACTGGGTCCAAGTCTCTACCATGCCACCCGATGCACAGCGTGTTACCTTGTTCGCCGAGTATGTGCGCGGGAGGGTTCCTGGTCGAGTTGTAAGGAAGGCTCCTACTGTAAATCCAAGCGCCTTTCTCCCTTCCCTATTCGCTCATCAAAGTTGACCTACCGCTTCGTACTCCTAACTGCTCGATCAAGTACTAAATCCTCACATCGACACGTTGCCGCAAGCCGACCGGACATTACTGACCTCTCTCCGCAGTCCTGCTGAACGCTGCCTGACCCGGAAGATTTTGCGCGTCAGCAGGAAAAATCTAGTAAGTTGTTATTCACGACCCACATCTTGCCTAAGGTACTGTCAGATAAAAGAGGTCATATATTACTATAAAGAAGTAGTAATAACAAGCAAATTTAAGTTAGTTAGAAGTAGATTAAATTAAACTAAATTAAATAGAATAAAGGGTAGTCTCTTGTTCTATATACTTAAAAAAGGGGTTACTATTTATATGTATAGGTACTATATCTACTATAAATAAGGTATATAGGTACCTAAGTACCTAAATCTTAATAACACTATAAACTATTAAAAACAGGGTATAAGAGAACGATCCTTGTATATTAATTAAGGATTAGTTAGTAATTAAGGGAACGTATTCTATAACCTATTAATTAATCTTACTATTTAATATACCCTCTTAGAGATTAAGCCGATTCTAGACTTAACTAGAGAGCTAAGTACTAGTACAGCTCTCTTTCTAGCTCTCTCTCTAATTAGGTAATAATAAAGCTATTCTTATACCTAAAGGTATATTAGTACTTACTAGTACGGCTCTTTCCTTAGGTAAAAGATTAAAGAATTAAGGAAAGTACGTAATAGTAAGTACTTAATTAAGAGAGGCTTAACGTTTAAGTCCTAAAGCTCCTTAAGAAAGAACCTTAAGGACTCTTAGTACTCTAAGTAGTAAGACATATTAAGTAATAAGGTTAAGTAAGTAGTAGAAATAAATAGAACTAAAGAATATAACTATAGAAATAGTTAAATCTCTAAGAAAAAGAAGTATTATTATTATTGTTCTTACTACCTATGCCTAATGTATACAGAACCTCTATACTACATAAATCACGTAGTAAAACTGTACTAAAGCCAGGTAAAAACCTACGTACTACCTCTTGTAAATACTTTATTATAGTACTACTAGGGCGCTAAGACCTTATTACTACCTTACTAGAACTTAACCTTTTAGCCTAGTAATACTAAACATACTAATAAGACGCTAGTAAGACACTAGAAAGACGCCGGCCGTTAACTAGGATTACTCTTCTTCTTTCTTAGCTAAGTAGCGCTTAGCTAGCCTAAACTATAAGAACTGGCTAGTAGATAGTAGCTAGTAGATTAGTACGTACGCGCTCTTTTCTCTCTTTATTACTATTATAAAGTTATAAAACGTCTATAGCGCCCTTAGGTAGAGTACTTACTATAAGGCCTGCTACTATTAGTTAAGCTACTAGTAGTTAAGGACTAGGTAAGCTACTATCTCTAGGGCCTTACTATAAGGGTACTAAAAGGTCACTACCTTTAGTACTCTATATTTAAAAAGAAAGGCCTAGAGCCTAACCTTACTAGTATAGATCTACGTTAAAAGTAAGCTCTTATACTTATAAAAGAGTAAGTACTTCTTAAGGGCATCTACTAAAAGGACAGGTAGCGTAGCTAGGGTAGTACCCTAGTAGTACACTAGTAAACTATTATATTAGGTCTATTATGTCCTCTAGTTCTCTTATAAGGTCTTCTTTAGTAAGGAGTCCTTATACTAGTCCTTTACTTACACGGCTTAGCCTACCTTATACTTAAGTAATATATAAGGTAGTACTATAGTAGTATTATAATAGTGTCTTTAGCGTTATTAAAGGCAGGTCGCTACCTTATTATAGATAGACTATATAAGTTTGCCTTTACTTATATGTTTAAGACGTTATTTAAAGTCTACTACTTACTTATTAAAGTAAAGGTTAAGTAGAGGCGTAGCTATTTTAGACTTAAGAAACTAAACAAGAGTCGCTTAGTACGCCTTTACGACAATATAAAGGTATTATAACTACTTTATAGTAAGGTCCTTTATAATCCTTTTAGCTCGTTACCTAAAGGGATAGTACTAGACCCTTACGCTATATACTATAGTACTCTAGATTACCTTTATATAGATCTCTCTTACGTGTAGTAGGCTATATCCTTACGCGGATATAGTAAGCCTTATAAGTATAAACTACTAAGTAGTAAACTTTTGTTTAATAGTGTTAAGGTAGCCTTTTTACCTAAGCTTCTAATCTATCTAAACTCTTAGAAAGCAGGCCTCTTAGACTAAGGGTATAACCTAGCTATTAAGGTAGATAAGCGTCGTTAGTATAGCGTAAGTATAAGTAAGGTAAAAGAGCTTACTCTTTTTAAGGGCAAACTCTATTCTCCTTATTTGTACTTACTAGCTATAGGTCTACTATACCCCTTTAAGGTACTAGTATATCTTTATCGTGTCTTTACTAAATACTAAAAGGTTAAGGTCGTTAGTAAACCTTACTATAATAAGGCCTACGTATCTCTATAGTAGCGTATATAAGCTAGTAGTATAGAGGAGAAAGAGGATAAGAGAGAAGGGTAAGCCTTATAATACTCTTATAGTAACTTCTTAGAGTAGCGCTACCTTTTTGTTAAAGAAGAGGCTAGCTATTTAATTAGTAAGAAAGCTATACACTTACTATACGGCCTATATAAGAAACCTTAGGTATTAGAGAGTATAGAGAAGGCGTATATAGTTTACTATATTAAAGGCGCCTTTAATATCTAGTTAAAAGAAGGACGCTATAGCCTTATAGCTCTACACTATATATATAGTATTAACTACTATTTTAACTATAAGGTCTATTAAGTATTATAGCCGGTTTTCTATCTGTATTTCTAGAAAGAGCCTTTACGACTCTATAGCGTTAGTAAAGCGCCGGCTAATTACTAACTTAATTACTTTACTTATTATACTTAAGAGTAATATCGGCCTATAGGCCTTAGCGGTTTATTACTATTTAAGGGTCTTTCTAGGCTTACGTAGTACTACTACCTTTACTACTTTAAACTATACTAGGACGTGCCTTAGCTAAAGGCTTATAGTTACTACTACTATAAGAAGCTTAGCTAAGGGGCGCTTGTATACTTTAAGGAAGCTAGTAAGTAGTAGGTTAGGTCTTAGCGCCTTTTAAGTACTTGTCTTTTAGAGAGCGTTAGTAATGTCTGCCTTTATTATAGTGTCGTTAATAGTAAACCGCTAGTACTACTTGTTCTAAAGGTCTAGAATAACGTTACTAAGATTAGCTACTAATTCTAAAAAGAACTACTAGCCTAACACTATTACTTTATTATAGTAGCTTATAGCTAGTACCTTCTTGTTAGCGCCTTAAAGAAGAGAGAGCGAGGCTAGTTCTAAGGGTACATAACTATAGAGCCTAGCCTACTTTTTAAGACTCTAGAGTTTTTATTAGTCTTTTAAGGTAGTAATAAGGGCACTATACTAGCTCTTAGTCTTTATATCTTAGATTGTCTAAAGTTAGTAGGTACTAGCCTACTAGAGGTTACGCTAGTAAAGTTTAGTTAAGATAGTAGTATATTAACAGTACGCTACCTACGTTTTCTAGACGGCCTTAAGGACCTTACTACTTTACTAGGGTTTAGTACGCCTTTAGCTAACCTTCTTTCTTAGGGTAGATAAGTCTATAATATATATAAGCTAAGAGGTAAGTAAGTTAACTACTTTATTAACCTTATAAGGTATATCTAGTAGCTTAGAGAAGAGGTAGAGCCTCTTAGCCTTAATTACTACTAGCTCTTAGTCTATTAGGGTCTAGCTCTACTCTAGTGCCTTTATAGCTCTCTTATAGTAATCTCTTACTTAGGTAATAACCTTAATTAGCTAGGCGTAGTAGTTAGATCCCTTATACCCTAGGTTACCTTAGTAGGTATACTAGAGCGTTACTATAGCCTACGTATAATTAATCGTTAAGTCTTGTTTACTATATCTCTTTTAGGTTAGCTTCTCTTAAGGTATACGTAGTAAGAGCTACTACCTATAAGCTAGATAAAAGAGGGTCTCTAATTTAGGGGTAGTCTTACTAGCTTTGTCTTAGAGTAAGTAGTAAAGGTTTATGTTACTTATAACGATCTATAGCTCCTTTAAGTCTTCTTTAGTAAGCCGCTAGAGAGGGCTAGTCTAGCCTAGAGAGTCAGGAATTAGTAAGTATATTAACTAGATAGTAACACCTTATAGAGTAACGTAATACTAGTCGACACTAGTCGTTACTACTTAAGTAAGAGGTAGGTACTACTTATAAACGTAGATAACTATATAGCCTTTACCTTTATAGACCTACTAGTACTTTACCTATACTAGGTAGTAGACTATCTTTATCTGTTTATTATACTATAGCTCTTAGATTACTATAACGTTAGCTTTATAGCTATTATAAAGTGCTATTAAGGTAAGGCTATTCTTTCTTATAATATTCTAGTATACTATTATTAATTTTATTACTAAGAGTCTAGGATCTATAAGTCTTGTATTATAAAGGGGTTACTAGACCCCTAGTTAGTTCCCTAGCTTAATATCTCTATAATGTTATAGCTCTAAACTATTACTATGTCTAGCGCTCTAATAAGAGGGCACTTACACCTTACTAAAGTCCTTACTATAGGCTTCTTATTATTACCTGTCTATAGTCTCTTAGGTATTACGACCTAGTAGCTATTGT